CCAGGCAGCAGGGAGTCAGGCTTGAACCTACTTAAGAGAGGAAGTGGCTGACTCCAGGAGGAGGAAGGCTATGGGGAAGAAGGAGCAGAGAGCAATCCATGGCCTACAGACATTTATCCCTGGGAACCCCATGGGACAAGTTCAACCTTTCAATAAACATTTAGTGAGCACTTGCTGTATACACACACCTATTTTCAGCATGGCAATAAACAGGATCAGTGAGGCTCCATCCTATCTGCATGGGGACATCCTCAACAAAGAAATAGAAAGCATTTTGTTAGGCAGTGAAACTTTCTGTCTCATTCACTTTCCTGTTAGAGCTGCGTGGAGTTTTGAAGCCGGCTCTCCTGCCTGCATCTGACATTTCCCCTGCAGGCAAAAGCCCCTCCCCTCCCTTGCTCCTTCAGCTGCACATGCTTTATGATGGCCTGTCACCTCTTCAGCTCACTGTGGACCAGCTCTCAAATGTTTGATACAATTATTTTACAGTCAGGGAAACTGAGGCAGTGGGAGAATGAGCCAGAGTTGGAGTGGAAGTGTCCAGACCCCGGATCCCACAGTCTCCCCTCTGCCTTGGGTGCCTCCCTGCTGGGGGATGCTAGGCCAGCAGCCAGGGTAAAGCTTATGTCCGGCTGACCCACCTGGAGCCATGCAGGGCCTGTGGCTCACACATTGTGGCCACACAAGCCAGGTGCACGGGAAGTGTCCTCTTGACTGCTCACAGCAGGGACCTGGGCTTGAGGGATGGTGGAGGTCAGGGGTGAGGGCTCTGGCACTGCACAGCTGGTCAGCCTTGGGTGGGAACAGATACTTTTGGTCCTCAGGAGTCTGCAGGTCAAATGCCCTCCTCTGGCATCACAGGTCTTCGGGCTGCCACGCATCCTCTTTCCTGTGAAAATCCTCCAGTGCAAAGCAGACCAAAGAGGACCCGTGCTGTTTGCAGAAGGTGTCTCCCACCCAACCCATGGTGCTTCTGAAGAACCGGGGCCTCTGTGGAGCAGCTCCAGGACCCCTGGTCTCATCTAACTTCTTTACACAGCGGGAAAATGAGGCCACATGGCAATTTAGGGATAGAGCGTTTAAGGAGCTCACATGAGGTTGGCCAAGTGGGAAAGAACGGAAGTGGTCACCCTTTGGCCCACTGCCTTGATTCCATGCACAGGGAGGGGCAGAGTCCTCCACTCATGACAAGAGCCACCAGGGCTGGGGATGTGCTGTGGTTCCAGGACCAGCTCTGCAGTCAGCTCCTGTGGGGCTTGGTCTGTGTACCGGTCAGGATGAACTGGGTTATGTTGCAGTAACAAACAAGATCCCCCTCATCTCAGTGACTCAAAACAACAAAAGTTTATTTCTCACTCATAAAAAAAAACTCCATTGCCAGTCCAAAGTCCTGTCCTCTACGAGAGGGCTCAACAATCAAGCTACTTCCATTTTCTGGCACATTCCTCTCCTCACTCTGCTTCAGGTCAGGCAAAGGGAGAAGGGAGCCTTGCACCCTGGCTCCTAACCACTTTCATCCAGAGAGAAAATCCTACTTCTGCTCACATTTCATTGGCCAAAGAAAGTCCCATGGCCACCTTTAAGTCCAGGTGTGGTTTGGGGGCTTGTATCATCAGAGGATAACAATGTATGTCTAGAAGTTGTTGATGAGCACTAGAAACATCAGCCACAGTTCCCAAATCTCCAGAGTGGCAAATAACACCTACTGTTGTTCCTTCACTCATTCATTCACCTGAACATTCAGCCTGTTAGTCCTGATTGTGCAAGGTGCTGGGGAAGCAGCCTTGCAGGATGGGAACTCGGGTCTCCTGAGTTCCTAGCAGGGCTTTGCTAGCTTCCTCTTCACACTCTCTACCAGCTGGACTCAGATTTGGGTCTTAGTTTGCAATCTCCTTAAAGAAGAGCCTGAGACAAGGATTAGGATCCAAGCAGTTTACTTGGAAGGTCATCCCCAGACGCTACCGAGAGGCAACAAGGGGAGGGAGACAGGGAAGGAGGGCACTGAAGTGTGCATTACTGAGTTGGTCACCGACATGGGCAGCTGGGGCTTGATTCTATCTGTGACCCCTCAAGGAACCGTGTGAAATGCACCTCAGAATTGTGCTGAACACCATAGATGCTGGGTCACATACTCACTGGCCAGTGTCTCCCCCGCCCTCCCCAACTGAGAATTGTCTCTGCTAACACAAATTTCTGCCCTTCACTGGAGAAAGTTCTGAAGCAGAGAGGCTGAGAGATGCAGTAGACCTGGGAGTCAGGAAGCCATCAGCAAGAGTAAGACTGTCGGCCAAGGCTGCAGAGGTGTTGGTGCATGTGGCGGTGGTGGGCTGATGAGGGCATTCGGAGGTGCAGAACGTCTGTGTTATCTACCAGAGATGAGGGAGAAGCTGTGCCTGTCACCAGCCATATGGAAACCAACACAAACCGCCTGCACTGGCCAAACAGCGGAGGCGAGTGCGTCTCAGGGCAGCTGCCGGGCTATTTTCTTCCAGCCTCCTTTCCTGATTTGGAAGGAGGTACCTCCTCCGCATGCAAACAATGAGGGAAAACAGGACTACGTCTGTGCCAGATATCCAGGTGTGGGAACAGGATGGCAGGCAGCCACAGGTTCCCCGGGGGGAGGCTGCTTGCTGGCTCTAGCACAGCCTGCTCAGAAGTCAGGAAATGGAAATGGGACAGACGAGGACTGGTCTTCTGATCCACGTGCCCAGGAGGTGGAAGACCCCACCCCTGTCTCTGGAGCCTGCAGCCCCTCTGAGGACCCCTTCCATCTGGACCATGGGAACAGAGACTGCTGGCTCAAGTCTTGATTCCCTGAGAACTGCATCCCCAAGACAATGTGGAGACATGATACTGTGTGTGAAGCGCCCGGCTGGGAGCAGAGCGACAGTAGTTTTCACACGCTCTTGGCCCTGCCACAGCTGGGCTCCATGCCCCACTCCACAAATGAGGCCCCTGAAATTGGAGAGTAATGGACATTCCCTGGGTCTTGTCCCCAAAGCACCAGACCTTAGGCTCGAACCAACCTCTCCGAGTCCCAGTCCAGAGGAACAAACTCAAAGGCAGTGGTGTGGGTGGGGACACCCCCAGGAAGACCTCGGCATTGACACTATACCCTGTGAGCTGGTGAGGAAGCAGGGAAGAGGCAAGTCGGTGGGGTGACACACAATCCAGCCATCCTCCTAGGAAAGGGGAGAAGACTCGTACCACAGAAGGAATCAAGGAGTGAAGGTCAAGGACAAAAGACACAAGGATTTGCAGGCTGTGGACTCTAATCTAAATTCTACCCATCTTTGGGCTGGTCTGGGTTTTCCCCTCAAAGTGATTCCTAGGGCTCGTTTAGAGACAATGATCTTATGGCCAGTGAGTTCCACAGGTCAAGGAGGGCTGCGGAATCAGCCAAGACCCCTTCAAGGAGTGGGTCCTGGGGTTGCATAGATGGAGGAGGGGAAAGCATCCTTATCCTGATGGCTTGGGTAAAATTATAATGACTGGAACAGCTCGCCTCGATTTCTGCTCTGAGGACCTCTGCTTCTTCCTTAAGCATCCATTGCTGCTGGCTGAGAAATGGCTCCCGTGGTACCTCTCCCGCTCTAGTCCCAGTGACATTCTCCTCTTGCTCAGGGACTGACATCATGTGACCGTGTATGGGGCAGCACCTACTGGGGTGGTGGGAGGAGGCAGAAGGGTAAAAGACTGACAGGTTCACCCCAGTGTTTCTCAGAGCCTCCCTCCTGTCCTGGAGTCATTGGATGGGACAGGGTCACAGGAAGAAGACCCCATATACTTCCATTCTGAGCACTCACCAATTAGGCTTGTGACCTGGGGTGAGTTCTTGGGCCTGGGCCTGTGAGCCTCTGCTTATTTTCATGGAGGCTTTAAATACTGGGCACAGAGAGGTGAAAGAAGGACACTAGAATCACTCTGGGAGAGGAAGAGGTGATCGGGTAGCCTGGGAGGGAGTCTGAATTCTCAGATCTGGTTACACTAGGATCACTCAGCTATCAGACAAGATGGACATTTTTCAGTGGGCAAAATCCTTATCCTTTCTCTAGTTTAGTTTTCTCATCCTGTACGGGGATAATAATAGTGTGTCCCTCAAAGGACTGCTGTGCTTAGAATCATGCCTGGCACCCAATAAATTCTCCGTAAGTGCTAGTTCTTTCCTTAGCTGTTGTTATGATTATTACTATAAATGTACGCATTCAAGTACAGAACCTTGTAGGAGCTCAGTTAGTATTAAATGATTGAAATACATACAAGTGAATAAAAGGTTGGAAGTGGATGACATCAAAGGTGGAAATAACACCTGGTTTGCATCTGATTTGGTCTGGTTATTATGATCTGGTGTCCATGGAAACTACTGAATATTGATACTTGAAATAGTTTTTCTCTGAGCTGAGTGTACTGAGGTAGACCTGGGGCCTCTGCATTTTGCCACCCACTGCATTCTACGCCCACCTTGATCCCTTCTCTCCATAAGAGGTTGAATCAGTCAAGGGCATGGTCACTGAGTGAGGGACATTCAGAAACTAAGTGTCTGGATGGTCGTGAGAATGCAGCAAGTACTCATCCATATTTGGTGAATGAATTAATGAATTAGTGAATGAATATTGCCTGATCATCTCAGGAAAAGGCAGGACTGAGCCTGCAGATAAAGGACCTTAGAGTCTTCCTCTGGGAGGGATGGGAGGCAGACAATTACCGCTTCTTGCATCGGGTTCTTGCATCAAGTTAAGGCAACTTAAGGCAATGCCTGTGAGATCAAGTGCATCCTGTTCAAGTGGAATTCCAAAGTGGTGAAGAGCTTGGGCTTTGGGGTCAATCAAATCTAGAAGGAAATACTGGCTCAGCCTCTCCCTAACTTTGTAAACTTAGACAAACTATTTAATTTCTCCAGGCCTCAACTTCACATCTACAAATGGCTCTATTGATATTTGCTTCTCCGGAGCATTGGAGCTCAAATGGCCCAGTTGCTTACATGTCCATTTGCTCTGGGGAAGGGAGACGCATCATAGTAGCTCTCTTCTTCTAAGGGATTCAGAATCACTGATGTGATGTCATGAAAGAGTTCTTTGTAAACTGTAGAGTGCCGTGCACATATGAGGGCTCCTCCAATGGCTTGTGTAGTGGAGAGAACCTGCCCCAGAAGTCCTGCTGGGACAAGCTTCCCAAAGAAGAGAGATGGGACTGAGAAGCAAAGGACCCCAGGAAGCTGGTGGGGACCTTCATCCACAAGGCTTTGTTCTGGGGAGTCATACTATCCGGAATCGAGGTCTGTCTGTCTCCCTGCCTCGTGACCCTGGGTAAGCTACTTAATGTGATGAGGCCTCCATGTTCCTGTTGGGTGGTGAGGGGTCATGGTAAGCACTTTTCGGGTTGCTGTGGAGGTTAGAGAGGTTACAGTCTGAAAGTGCTGGGCCCAGAACCTGGGGTGCAGTAAACTTGGCCACTCCCATGTCTCCCATTCTCACACCCCTGGCCATTCTAAGCATGAAGGCCTCCTGCCTCACCTTTAGTTTGCGTAGTATAAGAAGAAAGTAGAGTAGAGGGAGAACAAGAGGCAGAGGTGGGCTTGATGTAGCTGTAGGTGGTAAGTCATTATCATATGAGGCCGAGACCACTGTTATCCACATTTCATGTGTGGGGTCCCTGAGCCCCAGCTGGCACCAGGATGCACACCGAGCTCTGTCTGTGTGCAAAGCCTGTGCTTTTCAGCTCTTCCAGGATCCTGCTCCTGCTCTGACTCTAAACATTGTGTGGGTTTTTGAAGCTGCAGGAGAACAGGGACAGAAACCAGCCTGGTACCCACTCCCCTGCCCATCCTGATTCCTACCCATCCTCAACTTCTCTGCCTTCTACTGTGATTCTGGTTTTTGTTTTGTTTTTTTGGTACTGGGGATCGAACTCAGGTCTTTGTGCTTGTGAGGCAGGTGGTGAAACCACTGAGCTAAATCCCAGCCCTCTACTGTGATTCCTTGTCCCAGGGCACTTTCATGGGCCAGTGGCCTTGGAAGCCTCTCCAGGACATCACCAGGTGGGCCTGTGTCTTTCTCTGGCCCAGAGGAGAACACCATTAGGTAATTGCATTTGTTCCTTATCTCACCCTCCCACTTTATTACTTCCCCAGAGAGATGCTATAACCACAGCCTCTCTGAAAATTAAACCAGTCTTCTGGCTGCATGTGCAGGCGGAAGGACCACCACCAGGGGAGAGGTGTGGAGTGGAGGGGGGATTACATCTTCAGCTGGCAGGCACACCCTGTCCCTCAGCTTGGGGTGTGCTGTCAGCCCTGGGTGTCTCCAAAGAGCACAGCCAGTGCCTTGCAGAAAAAGCTGGATCCAGGGGAGGAAGCAGGGATCTTGCCGTGGGCTCTGTCCTGGGCTTTCCGCATGACCTCAGGACTAACCCATAGGCTCTGTGAGTCCCAGGTTCTTTATAGGTTAGATGGGTCAATAACTCTCCCCGTGATGATCAAACTGGCTGGAGACTGGGAGACATCTAAATGTCATCTCTGTTTTATTATGGAGGCCTCTTTTTTAAAAAATAGCTTTAATAACATACACGTGTACATATTCAAATTGTACAATTTGGTAAGTTTTGATGTGTGTATACCTGTGTGAAGCCATTACCATAATCACAATAGTGATCATATCCATTGTCTCCCAAAACATCTTCCTGACCCTTTGTCATTTCTTCCTCCCACTACAGTCCTCCCTACCCTCGTCCCCAGGCACCACAAATCTGTTTTCAGTTATTAGAGATTCATTTGCATGTCCCAAATGTAAATGGATTTTTACATGGTGTACTGTTTTTGTCTGGCTTCTATTTTGAGATTTATCCATGTTGTTGTATATATTAATAGTTCATTTATTTTATCGCTAAGTAATATGCCATTAGATGGATATAATACAACTTGTTTGTTCATTTATCTATTGGTAGATATTTAGGTTGTTTCATTTGGGGGATATGACATAGTTTCTGTGAATATTCATGTATGTATTCAAGTGCTTTCATTTCTCTTGGGTAAATACCTAGGAGTGGAATGGCTAGGTATGGCAGGTATATGTTTCATTTTTAAGGATACTGAAATTGTTTTCCAAAGTCACCATTCCATTTTACATCCCTATCAGCAGGGTAGAAGAGTTAATGTTCATTGATTTTTTTTCCATACTGGGGAATTGAACATAGGTGTGCTCTACCACTGAGCTATATCCCCAGCCTTTTTACTTTGAGAAAGGTTCTTGCTAAGCTGCCCGAGCTGATCTTAAAGTTTCAATCCTTCTTCCGCAGCCTCCCACATAGCTGGGAGCACAGATGTGCACCACCATGCCCAGCAAAGATCCTGCCTGCCTGGAAAGCCAACTCAGCAGCAGGCTCAGTGCCCTCCCTAGTCTCCCCAGATGCTGGACAGCAAGCCCTGTGAGGAGGGACCCTGCCTGTGTTGGTCGTTACTTTTTCTCTGGTACCAGACACCAGGCCTGGCACATACTGTGCACTCAGTTGTTGAATTAATGACTCACAGAATGAAATAGCAAATGGCCATTGAACTGAACTGAGTGTTCTTCTCACAAAACCCCTCTATTCTGCAAGGAATATGACTTCCAAATGGCAGGGGAGAAAACTGAGTCCCAAACTTCAGAACAGCGCTTAGGGCTGCACAGATTGCTGAGCTCAGAGAAGGCCCTCAGCCCAGTGCTTTCCCAGCCACCTCGTCTTTCTTAGTTGGGAGTTGAGGCTGGGCTCAGAGATCCCTGGAGTTCTCTGTGTGCGTCTTTCATTCACCCTTTCTTCTATCACAGAGGCTATGAGGGACAAAGTGACCTTCCAGGGACATTTCCAGGCCTGCAATTCCAGAATACATACACTTGAGACTCAGCTCTCAGCTTGTTTAAAAATTCTCTGACCTCTCAGTGTCACCGTCCTGTGTCTATGTTGGCATTTATTATTTATTGCCATTCAATGCCCCAGGAATATAATTTCTTGGTGGGATCCCAGGATAAGGAGCTGATTTGCCAGAGGAAGCCCAGATTTAAGCTGGAGTTTTATCTCTTCACTGGCCCTAGGCCACCTGTCCTGGAGCTGGGAACCAGGAGGGCTGGTGGGGGAGGCTGCTGTGGCTTCTTCTAAGTCCTCTCCTGGGGGTGTGACAGCAGCTGAAGGACTCTGAGGCTCTCCAAGTGGACAGCATCCCTACTTCTGAGGCTAATTCAGTAGCCTTTTCTGCCCCCCAAACCCTTGAAAAACAGGTGTGTGTAGAATGCAATTTACTGCTTATACTTAGAACCAAATGCTTCTCACCATGTAGCTTCCACTAGAGAAAGATGAGGGGTGTCACAGCCACCTCTTTGTGTAAGAAGAGAACAGATGTTTGGATGTCTAAGACAGGAGTTGATACTCTCCAAATATTATTAGCAATTGGAAGTGAGGCCATCTGAAAGCAATTGCCTTTTGAGTTTAATGTGGGAGGGGGATGTTTTGGATTTTTCTTGTTTGTTTCTGAGAGCTTGGAAAGAGATGCTCAGGGAGATTTGGAGGAGAGAGAGAGAGAGAGAGAGAGAGAGAGTTAGTGAATTGGGAGCCACCAAGATATAATCCAGTCCAAATCACTTCCTTATCACTTCTTCCATTTTAAAAGAAGAAAATTGTGTCCTAGATAGGTGAATTGGCTTGTCTAAGGCCTTCTAGCCAGTAATCTGTGGAGCTGGGACAAAGTCTATGAAATCATGCAGAAAAGTGGCAATGCTCCCTCCAGGAAGTGAGGAGGGCCTTCAGGTCATCAGGACATCGGTGTGACAGACACAGTGGAGGGGACTCATGCTCCTTTATCTTCAGTTTCTCAGAGGTGGAAAATGTCTAACTATTGGAAATATGGTAAAACTGTATAATTTTTTGAGGAGAAAAGGCTATAGTTCTAATTATTCTGTCAAGATCTAAATTTCTTAGTGTTCAGACAACTGGGGGAGGAGAAGGAATGTCTTAAAACTATGAGTGCCCGGATCTGTTAGATGAGTACCCAAACAATGCCTGTGGCTCCCTGGCGGGAGGAGATGGTTCAGCACCACGGACAGCAGCCACCTCGGCCCTCTGACAGGGTTCAGGGCACCACTGCATTCACTCCCATCAGAGTGGGTCACAAGAACCACCTGAGCTTGCCAGAGGAGCTGGTGTCACAGGGAGGCATACAGATATGGGACCCAAAAGGGACCCACAACCCCAACCAGCTCCTCAACCAGTCATCCACCTTGGATGAATCTCAAGGTATACCTACCACCTCATTCCCAAGTGCTCGGTAAATTTTCTCCCACTGGCATGAACGCGCCCATACTGCAGAGAAAATATTGACAATCCCCAGTACTTGGCACCCCCTGCCAGGGGTGAGGTACGTGGAGCTGAGCTTTGACCATAGGGAGAAATAGGATTCAGCAGGAGAAGGAATAGAGGCTTCTCAGGCAGGTGGATGAAGGTCTGGGGTGTCTTGGGTCCAGGCAAGGAGGAAGACCCATAATTCAGGTTCTGCTATTCTCCCACAGGGTGGGGAGGTAAAAACAAAAGGATGATGGGCCGCTCAGTTTCTGAGCCTTGGGCCCAAGGGGAAGGGAGAAGGCTGTCAACTGACTGCTTCAGAAACATCACTTGGCCCCAAGCTCTGGTCTGCAGGCCCAGCCATCAAGGAGCTCCCTGTGCACCCCTTCTCAGGGCCACTAGAGCTCCCCAAAGACCTCTGTGCCGAGCCCCTGATTCCCAACTGGGCTGCCTGGGAGGCCTGAGGCTGGGGAGAACTACTTACCAGCCTCCCCTCAGGGGGAAGCAGGATCAGCACCTCTCAGTCCCCTGGGGAATCTCCTGTCCAGTCCTGTCCTTTGAAGAGCACCATCATGGCTAAGGGGACCTCAGTCACCCTGGACATCAGAGACACTCAGCAGCCTGGAGGAAAAGCACATCCTCAAGTCACTCAACTAGCAAGCAGGTAGGCACTGCCATGGACCTTGCACTCGGTCCGGGTCAGGGTGTGTGTTGTGGCTTGTGTCTAGATGCCCCCCCACCAAAGCTTCATGTGAATGAGGTGGGTTTTTTTCCCGAGGTGGCTGAATCTAGAGTATGTGGTTGATTCATGGTGCAGTGCTAGGCTCAAGGGCACTAGGATTAAGGGTGTGAGTGCTACCCTCCCTAAGTAGTCTGAATAAAATAAAAGGGGCCAGAAGACACTGTTAAGTTCCCTTATAGATTTGCTACCATCTGTCCCCCATGAATTGTTCTTCTCTGTGATCTCCCTCTGCAAAGCCACCTTGCTTGGAGCCAGCTAATTATGGGCTGAAACTTCTACAAACTGTGAGCTAAATAAGCCTTTCTCCCTTTAATTTTGGGTGCTGGTATTTTGTCTCAGCAATGAGAGAAAAGTAACTAAGACATCCTGTGTGAAACACCTGGCATATAACGGGCCCTGGGCCCTCACAGGAGCTCTAGGAGGTGCATGCTGTCACTGGGAGCCCATTCCACATGTGAGAAAACTGAAGTTCTCCCAGAAGCTGAGTTGCCCATTCCTGCTGATGCTGAACTTGAAGAGCCTGGATCATTTTGTCAGTCAGTGAACGGCAAAACAGAACTACATAACCAAGGGCTCCATCAGAGCAGAGCCTGGGAAGAGAGGGCAGGGATGAGCTCATGGGCACTGAGCTCTCTCAAGGACCAAGAACTGTGCCAGACTTTCCCTCCTCTTCTCAGCTCTCCTGAGCCATTGCCAACAGAGTGGCACTGAATTCTCTCAGCTAAATTCACAGACATCACACAGAAATTACTTTGGCCATTTTGTAGAAGAGGAAACAGAGGCTCTGAACAGTTAAGCGACTCTTACCGGGCCCCCAGTGAGGTCTCCCTGGCTTCAAAATATGGCCCTTCCCGCTGTCCTGGGCTGCTTTTGGCAGCCACCAAGGGCTCTGGGGACCAGGATCACCCTCAAGTCACCCGGAGGCTCCTCCCCAGGAGGCTCTAAAAGCCAACTTTGGGGGCTCACAGCGTTGAGGGGTTGGGACCCGGGCAAGGGGTCCTCCCTCCCTCAGGGCCCCCACTGGACTACTTGGATCCATCCCTGGGCTGGGGCTCCTCTGCCCCCCTCCCCTTCCCAAACCATGCCTTGTTCATGCTGTCACGCTGCAGCCTCACTCTGCTCTGCCAGACCCTCACCTCACCCCCAAGCCCTGCGATCCCATCTACCGGTCTACCTGGCACCCCTTGGAGCCTGCATGTCACTAAGCAGCTCTTGCCCAGCATGGAGCCCTGCAGCCCCTCCCCTGGGTGATCTTCCCGCTGGATACAGGAGTTTCTATCCAGCGGTGGGGTGGTGGCACCCTAGAAGACACCATGCTCAGCAGGGAGGCACCACTACAGATCCTGTGAGAACAAGGCCAGGGCCAGAGGAAAGGAGGCAAGCACCCGGAGGACTTCACTTGCCTCTCCAATTGGGCCAGGTCTGGTCCTTCTCACCAAGCTGCTGCACCTCTGGTCTCGAGTGAGCCAGCCTCGGGGCCAAGGCACAATGCCTAAGGTGCCCTCCTCGGTCTTTCTTCCACCCCCTGGGGCCTAGGCCCTCATCCACCCATTGAGGAGGCCTGTAAACCACTTTATTAGATCAAAGCAAACATCTGCAAAGAAGAAAAGCAAAACCTTAATTGGAAGCCCCTGGAGATGTTTGCAGAGACAGGCAGGAGAGGATCTAATGAAATCACCGCATGCTGGCCTCCTCACAGACCTGGCAGATAAGGCCGAATTGCCTGGCAACAGGACTTTTCCATCTGGAGGCCTGATAAGGGGCTGGGGGAGCTGCGTGTTTGCAAAATAGGATTTTGTAAGCGAGGCCGAGGGCTTGTTGACTCTGGTGTCCATCGCCCTGGGTCCCACCACGAGATAAGCAGCTGCCACTTTCCCTGGGATACCAAACCCCTGGGAGGGCCTGCCCCCTTGGAGACATCCTGAACCTTGGCTGGAGGAGCAGCCAGTCATGTCCTGGGCCGGATGCTAGCGAAGGGGACATTTTCAGCAGGGGTTTGTGGTAGCAATGGCTTTCTCTCTTCCTCTCCCTGACTCTGGTCCAGGCTCCCCAGGATGGAGTGGGTATTAGGGCTGTGGGAAACTAGCAAGTTCTGATGCAGCACTCCAATGCCTCACACCTCCTGCTGCCTCCTCCTCCTAGGGACTTCTCTCTTGGAGTAAAAGCCAAAGTCCTCATAGATACTGGGGGATTTTGTAACGTCTGGTGTAACAATTTCTTACGTCCTGCTACTCACTGCCTCACTCACTCTCTTCCAGCCACCTTGGCCTTCTCACTCTACCGCATACCTGCCCGTCATGCTCCTGCCCCAGGGCCTTTGCACTGACTGTCAATTCTGCCAGGGATATATCTACAAGGCTCTGTCCCTTGACTCCTTCAAGGCCTGCTTCAAATTACTGTCTCCATGAACCCTACCCCGGCCAATTACTCAGGCCTCCCACTTTGGTATCCAAATGTCTTTACCCTGCTCAGATCTTTCCTTTTCCACAGCAACCACTGCCTTCTAACCTGCTACAGAATGCACCTATTTCTTATGATTTATTGCTTCTTGTCTGTTTCCTCAGCCTAAATCACAAGCTCCAAGAAGGTGAGGGTCTTCTCTCTTTTTTTCACTAGCAATTCCAGGAATTGGGATCCGAGCCAGGAACATGCTAGGTGCTTAGTAAATGTTTGTTGAATGAAGAAATGTTTCCCCTTCCTAGTTCCCAAACAGCTTCCGTAGAACTGGTGGAAGAGTGCATGCTCAGAACACACCTCTGCCAGGTAACTGGGCCTCCCCAGGAAAGGCCTGGGAAGCAGCACCCCAGCCCCACTGTCTGGACCCTCCAGAGGAAGGCGGCCTAATCCAGGAAGGAAAACTCCGGGTGAGGCACCAGGCTTGCTTGGATGCCATCCCAGCCCTACTACTGATTTGCTGTGCGACTCAGGAAAGGGCGCTATGAATTTTTGAGCCCCAATTCCCTCTTTTGGCTGATGATATCAGCATTTCCCCTCTCTGACTAAAAGCAATACACTTCCACATTATGAGTCTGGGGGCCTCCAGCCTGAGACCAAATCCTGTCTCTGCTACTTGGTAGCTGTGTGCTGTTAGGTAGTTTAGGTAACCTCTCTGAACCTCTGCCTCCTAATCTATAGATAGGTGTGTGACCTGACCCTTCCATGGACTGACTACTCTCTGCTCACTTGTGATCCAGGTGGCATCAGCTGGCTCCTCATGTGAAATCATGGGAAGTAGCTAGCCAGGGTCTTTCGGGGTGTGCACTGTAACTCCAAGGTAGACCAGAAGTCACTGCAGTTTGGCTGATGCAAGGCTGTGTTCATTTTCCCAGCCTCATAGGTGTTTTGTTTTATTTTGTTTTGTTTTGCAGTACTGGGGAGCCTTCACATTGAGCTACATCCTCAGCCCTTTTTTATTTTGAGACAGAATTTTGCTAAGTTGCCCGGGATGGACTTCAACTTTGATCCTCTTGCCTCAGCCTTCCACAGTGCTGGGGTCACAGGTATGCACCACCATATGCAGCTCAACCTTGCAGATTGGTCCTCAGCTGTCCTCGCCATGTGGCTCCCACCTTGGCTGGAGGCACTGCAATGGCCTAGCGTTGACAGGACACTCCCTAGGTAGGACAAGTGTCCAAATTAACCCAAAGGATGATCAAACCCTGGCCCCAGGGAGGGAGCAGAAATGTGTCAAGGTCTGAGAAGGGGCCAGGCTAGAAGAGCACTGAGCACTATGCAGCTGCAAGACCTAGGACCATTCCAAGGGTGAGGATGCTGTCAGACCACCCACAGCCCAGCCACAGACCTGGCCCTGGTCAGGCTCTTAGCTTGGGTTCCCCGAGACAAGAATATAACCAACCGCACTTGGTTTATCAGGACTCCCTGGGAGGAAAGTGGGTTGGGACCATTAGGGAGACTCACGGGAAAGGAACGGAAGTCTGTAACGTGTAGCTATCAATAAAGTCCGCCACCAACAAGGTGTGCACCGTCAAGCCAGACCCCCTGTGACAACAGAGCTTAATCCCACAGGGAACCTCTGTGAAATGGTCCAGAGGAAGCCTTCACTAAAATTACCCCACGCAGGGGGAAGGAAGCTGGGACATCAAGGGCTGCCCCAGGTGGAAGGGTAGTGTGAATCCCTGAACTTTCTGTAGCTCTCCCGGTTTGCACAAAAAGCCGTTGAGTTCAGAGGGTAGAGCCCAGCTGTCGGAGCTTGGTCAGAGCCCTGCAGGACCCAGAGATCCAAGCCGGGACCTGGCTGCATGTGCTGCATGAGTTGGACTCAGGTGTAGCTTGTGGGGAGCAGCAGGAGCCCACAGTTCGCCACAGGGGCTCAGGGCTGCCTTGGGGGTCTCTCAGCATCAGCAGTCTGAGTGGAGGGAGTCCCAGAAGGCCACCCGCAGGGCTCTGGTGCCCCTCCTCCTGTTTGCTGGGTGTGGTGCCCAGAGAGATCCCAGACATGCCAGGGGCAAGTAGTGCCTGCCCCATGGAGAGGAGAGGACACTCATCCTGTCCCCTCTCCCCACCTTGCAGACTAGGAGCCAGACCCTTCCTCTGCTCAACAGAAACAGTGATTGTTTTTATTGTGGCAAACTATACATAAAATTGACCATTTTAACCATTTTTCAATGTTCAGTAGCATTGAGTGCATTCTTATTGTGCAAACATCTTACCATCCATCTCTCCAGAACTTTCCCATTTTCCCAAACTCTGTCCCCAGGAAACATTAACTGGTTTTTCCTTGCCCCAGCTCTGAGCGACCACCATTCCATTCTCCCTCTCTGTGAATCCTCATTAGCAATTTTCGCTGAGTGTCCCAATGTGGTCCTCACATTCCAGATCTGCCTTCTGTCCCCTTCCAAGGATGGCTGGTGGACTCCGGGGCCCGAAGGAAGCACTTTAGCTGCTGGTCTCATACATCTCTCATTCACTTCTGAACTAACTGGAAATGCTGCCGAGCTCTGTGTATAAGATTTTTCCTTATAGCACCAAAACAGAGCACCAGTCTGTACCAACCTGCAAATTAAACAACTGTGGCACACAAAGAGATTATGGTGGATGATGACACACGCGACACAGGTAAACAGTTACGATATGGTGCTCGGAAGGAAGCAGTCACAAACCTGCACACCTTCACAGTGACCCACATCATAAGGCCAGTTATTCTTTCACTAACTTTGAATGATGGAGCTGCTTCAGCACAGACTAGAGAATAAATTAGTGATGCTTGTCTCTGGGTGGTGAGGGTATAGGTGATTTTCCTCTCTCAGATTTTCTAGATGAAACACATGTTACTCTTCTGCTATGTTCTCCAGGTCCTTTGCACCCAACCTCCTTGCTATGCCTTGGACATTTCAGACCCATCCCTCCCTCCAGGCATTTGCTCTGGCAGTCTCCTCTCATGGGGCTCTCTTCTCCTAGCTGCACACTGGCCCACTCCCTTGGCAACTTCAAATGTCACCTGTTTAGCGAGGCTTTCTTAGTTAGAGCCACTCTAATTAAATATAATACTGTTCCTCTCCAGCCCAGCCATCTCCCTCCTTGCTTAATTTTTCTCTATAATGTTCTCAATCCCTGACATACTGTGCTTTTTTTTAAATTTTTGGTGCTACTGGGGATTGAACCCAGGGAGGGCTGAGCTGTATCCCAGCACTTTAAAAATTTTTACTTGGAGGCAAGGTCTTACTAGGTTGCCCAGGCTGGCCTCGGACTTGCAATCTTCCTGTGACAGCCTCCCAAGTTGCTGGAATCCCAAGTTGTTCATTGCTGCAGCCTTTAGCATCTAGAATAGCTGAGCACTGTGCTGAGGTGTTATAAGCATGCAGAGGTGCTGAACAAGTGGCTTTTGGATGAACAAATGCACAAATGGGGGCATCCCTGTCTGATTTTTCTCATTTAGGGGGAGGAATGGGCAGGAGGTGGGAAAGGGTAGCAACAGATCAGGGGGCAGGAAGGAGGGGCTCTGGAGGATCCCAGTCACTGTCACACTGTCACCCAGATCCCAGGTTCCCTCTGAGCCTGGAGTCAAGTAGCGCAAGGTTTCTGATACGGCCCCAGGTGAGAGCAGCACTAAGGTCAGAGCGTGGAGTGAATCCCCCCGCCCCGCCCCCGGCCGCGCCCGCGCCTGCGCCCAGAAGGAAACCAACCGGGAAACACCAAACTTCCAGGCTTTGAGAACACTCAAGAGGATGCTGTGCTAAAATACAGGGAGGACTGCTGGTGGCAAGAGGGTGACCCTGGGCCTGGACTAGGGCTGATGAGCTGATGTCACAGGACTCTTACTCTGGCCTGATGTTGAGAGCTGTCCAACAGTGGCTGAGTGGCCAGGTGAAAGGGGCTTAGTGGCTCCACAGGCAGAATCTACGATCCACACACCCATGGGTCCAACCTGCTCTCCGCACGTGCAACAGCCATCTGTGAATAGCCCTCTGTGCCATTGCGCCCAGCACTGGGCACTGTGAAAGCAGTGACGACTAAATAAATAAATACACATGGGCACAAAACTGGGCTGTGCCTCGTGCAGACGGGATGGGGAGGCCTTTCTAGAACATCGGAGATATTTCGAGGACCCCTGCATGGTGAACATGTCTCCAGTGCGCGCGGAGTAGAAGGAAGCTGGGAGCCTGGCACTGTCCACAGAGGGACCTCGGTGCAGGTGGGAAAACGCGAGGCCAGAGATAGGGAGCGACTTGCGCACCAACATACAGGGAATCGGTGGCACCGTTGGGGGATGGAGGATCGGTTGAGGGCTCTGGGCCACCTCCTGCAAGCTAGACACTGTTCGCTGCCAGTCTCAGCAGCTGCGAGCGGCGGAGGCCGCCAGATGCCAGAGGTGAGGCTGGAAGTGGAGCAAGGTGGAGCCAGACCCCGGGGGGTGGGGGAAAGAGGCAGGGGGCGGCCCGATGACGTCATTTCCGGGGTCGGGGTATATAAGCAGGGCACACGGGCGCTGCTGCTAGTACTGCAGTACTCCAGCCCGGCGCGCGATGGCTCGCGGGCAGACCGACGGACCCGCGGACGCTCGCCCCCCGAGACGCTGCGCTCCCGCCCGCCGCCGGCCCAGCAGCCTCCCTCATGAGGCCGCCTTGCCGGTCCCCACGCCACCAGCTGGTCCGCGCCCGGGGTTCGCCAAACGCTCCGCCGCCGTCCTGGCGTTCCTGCTGTGCGCCGGGCAAGGTGAGCGAGCCGGGGGCTCGGCCGAGAGGGTCCCCGGGCGCCCCGCCAGCCCGAGGTCCACGCGTCCCCTCGGCGCGGCCAGAGTTCAGCACCACGGGCAGCGCCTCCTCCACCTGATTCTCACCGTGGCCTCCACCCAGGCCCCGCGGGACACCCGGACCGGACTCCCAGGCGCGGGGACAGGGCCCCCTCGCGCCCCCACCTCTAGTCCAGGCTCGGCGTCTCGGCTGCATCGGGGCCAGCGCCGGCTTCGCCCCGGGGCAGCCAAGGTCACTGGGGGAGGTGGAAGGACTGCCGCCGCCTGCCCTCTCACCCTCTTACCCTCTCCCTCTCCCTCTCCCACGTGTCTTCTCTTAGAATCCCTCCCGCTCTTCACCCTCTCCACGCTGCTGGCCCCACCCCAGTCCCACTGCACCGCTGCCCTTGTTTTCGTGGCAATTGCCTCCCTCTAGAACACGTCCCCACCCCACCCCTACTCCCAGGAGGAGCTTCCCCAAGGGAAGGGGTAAGGCCCTTCAGTGCAGCCTGGAATGGGGGGATGAGCCCCGGAGGCAGCGTCCGAGGAAGGGAAACAGAATGGGCCCTGGCCTCTCGGGTGGGTGCAGACAGTTGTGAGGGGCAGCACCGGGTGAATGGGCCCCTGAACCCAGTCAGGAGGGCCTGGGCTCCTCTTAGTACAGAGGAGTGACCGGGGTGCTCTCTTTTCTTCCCAGTCACTGCCCTCCCCGTGAACAGCCCTAGGACTAAAGGGGACATCGAGGTAAGCAGGAGCATTGGGGATGCCCTGGGTTGGGGGAGGAGGTTCCGGGGCGGACACCTCCCAGCCAGTTCTTGGGCAGCTGCAGGAGTGAGTCTGGCACAAGGTCAAGAGCCAGCACTGCGGCTGCTGAGCCCAGGGACAGCTTGCAAAAGAAGATATCAAAGATTTCTTGCTTTTCCTGCTGTCCTGATGTGGGGACTCCCCCAGCTCTCTCTGAGCTCCTGTGCAGCCCAAAGGGGCCTGTGTGCTCCCTGCTGGGTCCAGGTGCAGGTCCTGAACACTCCAAATCCAGGAGGCCCAGTGGCTGGTGGGAGTGGCTTCCGGTGGTCATGGCTGTGCACAGACCTGCCCGGCTCTGGCCTCCCCTTTAGATCTGGTAGCACCCCCCCACACACACACACACACACCAGGAGGCGTTCAAACCCTAGCTCTCCCACAGGGCCACAGTGAAAACATTTTTGACTGTGGCTTCTTCGCCCTGAACTCTGGCTAGTTGGGGGCTGCTGGTGGAGGTCACCATGGAAAGGACCTTAGGGGACACCAGTGTGTGGGGGGGGCGGGGAGTCCTCTGGCAGTAAGGAAGACTCCACACCAGGAATTTTCCCATCTGAGTCAAGGCTGCTTTCCCAGGCCCTGTACTCATATTTATCTCATCTCCACTGGAGTCACAAATGTCTACTCCTCATTTTCTAGGTGCTGTTTTCTTCTATGAGAGGCTACAGTTTAAACCAAAAGCATCAAAGAGATTTCAACCTCAGTTTGTTAATTACATTTCCTAATATACATAGGCCAGAATTGAAACCTCTACCACTCCTTTTAGCTGTGCAGTTTTGGGAACATTCAGTTCCTCTGAGCCTCCTCTTCCTCCCTCTCCCTTGAGGGAGGTGGGAAGAGTAGAAGTCATGGATATGAAGTGCTTGGCAAACGGTAGGTCCTCAATAAATGGGCACTGTTTTTCTTAGTGCTTCCCTTCTGGACTTCTCCAGCCTCCCTAGGACCGCTATGCAATTCCTGCCTCCCAGAATCGGCCCTCACAAACCGTGGTTATCTGATATGCACAAGGCAAGGTCTGAGGTTACAGGGAGGTCAGGGCACAGGCTGCTGGGCACTGCTTGCCAGATCCTGTATTCACCACCCCATAGTCACCATGTCATGCCCAGCAGCTGGGGTCAGGGGCACCAGAGCAGCTGGTTGACCTGAATGTTCCATCTGCGGCTGTGACTGCACACACTGTAGAGCGTTTGCCAGTGTGCCATCCTGGATCCCTGGACTGGTTGCCTTGGCATCCCAGAGACACAGCCTCCCACCCCCTCACTCACCGCCAGCATAGCCGATGCACGTCTGACACCTCCTTCTCTCCGAGCCCTAGGCTGTTGAAGCAAGTCTGAAGTTGTGAAGCCCTCCTTGGGCACGTGTGGCACTTCACGCTTTATAGAATGTTTCCCCATCTGTGCCTCTGTACCCTCGGTGGGCAGTGGGAAGGCGTTCTTGCTCCCATTTTACACACGAGGACACTGAGGCTCTGAGAGGTTAAGTCACTCGCCCAAGGTCACACTGCTAAGAAATCACACTTCCACTGGCACCAGCACCAGAGGTCCATTTATCAGGTGCCTAGTGATCCATAGCAGCTTGCCAGACACTGGATAAGATGTTCAGAGGTATGGCTGCTGCTGCTGGCCTGGGATGGGGACCCAGGTGTACCCAGTGTGTGCCCCTTATCCAGCCAGACTATGAGACTGTCACCTCCTGCACATGATTACACTGCAGGTGTCTGGAAACAAGGCAGAACCAGGGAAGGTCTTTGCTGTCTTTTGGGCAATCCTGACCCTGAAGCATCTGTGAGGCCTCAGGACTTTGGAAAACATCCTCTTAATTCCCAGAAGAGTTCCTTAGCCTTAGAGAAATGACCTTGGGACAAGAAGATAGCAGTACCCGCCCCATAGCCCACACTCCCTGTGATCAGCCCTAGAGGGGCACCTGCTTGCCTGGCCATGTGATTGGAATGCCTGGCCCATGGCAGACAGCATAGGAAGGTTTTCTGCCATTGTTGTTACTGTCAGGCTAAGGCAAGTGAGGTTCCTGAGCCAGGCATCCACATACTCATGGAAACCAAAGCAGATGCCCTTCTGTTCTCAACAGACAGTGTTCCTCTAGAGCCCCTGGGGGCTGAGCCCCATGCCCAAACCAGTCCCAACCTTTCCTCCACCGTCTTCCCAGGTGATGAAGTGCATTGTCGAGGTTATCTCTGACTCGCTGTCCAAGCCCAGCCCCATGCCTGTCAGCCAGGAGTGTTTGGAGATCCTCCGAGGAGGTAGGAGTCCAAGGCTGGGGCTGGGAGGTGAAGACTGGGTGTGTGGCTTTTGATGGAACCAATCATTTAGTCAGCCTAGGCCAGCACTGAGCTGGAGTCTGAAGGGGACTGGTGCTGAGGGAGTCACTGTTCCTATTCTCCCAGAGCTTATGGACTAGCAGAAGGGACATAACATGAATACAGTGTGCTGAAATTCTAGGCAGAATGAAGCCAGGGCTGGAAGAACAAGCCACCAGACCGTGAGCTCCCCGTCACCTGGATCTTGTGTGCTATATCCCCAGTGTCAGAATGGAGCCTGGCACCTGGCAGATACCCCATGGATCTGTGATGAATAAGGAGTAACCTTTCCAAGCACAGGCAGGTCTTGGCCAGCTGCTGGGTAGAGCCAGTCCCATCTAGGTTGGGCTTGGAAAGCAGCATTGGCAATCAACAGGTAGAAAGTGAAAAAAGGGTCCTGCAGGCAGAGCGGATGTCATGGGCAACAGCCTGGTGGGAAATGTACTTAGACCCTTTATCTCAATATTTAATCTTACTGCTGCCACCTGGCTTTGAGTTTCCAGAACAAATCCCTTGTGCTCAGCTGGAAATATTGATGGTAATCTCTCTCTCAGTCACGCTCTGGAAACCACCCATAACTTGGCTCTTTCCCTGCAGACGAACGGATCCTTTCTATCCTGCGACACCAGAATTTGCTGAGGGAGCTGCAAGACCTAGCTCTCCAAGGTATTTCCCAGCCGCTGCGCACGATTCTGGGGAAATTCCAGGAACCAAGAGTCAGAAATCAGGGTGGAAGTTTGAACAAGACCCTCTGGGGTACTTGGTTATTTCTTTTCAGTTACAGAGCAGAAAGGTAGGTCCTCCATGCCACCGGGCCAGTAATCTATTATTGATATCATTAAAGAGATCAAAGCCCACGGAGGTTGAGTATCTGGCCCAAGGTCACACAGTGAGTAGGGTTGCATCAAAATCAGATGCAGCTTTCCTAATACCCGACGGAGTCTGGAGTCCAGCCATTTTAGGAAAGGCACTTGCAGGACTACAATGTGGAGAGGATTCTTTTCTTCTGTAAGCTGAGAAAGAAATTGATCACAAGAGGAGAGGGGCCCTTTTCCCTTGTGAGTGCCTGCTGAAGGGGTAAAGGGGGAGGCGGTGTCTTACCTGCCCCCACACAGACCAGACTTGCAGGGGGCTTCAGGGTGAGGCATGTCTCCCTGAGGGATTAAGAAAATCCACAGATGCTATTGGGAGTGGAGTAACTGTAAGATAGTGAACTCCCTGTCTCTGAGAGTATTCAAGCAGACAGCTACTCCCCCCAGCTCCTTCCAGGATTGCCGCAAGGCACAGCACTGCCCTGGCTGATTGGAAAACTTGGGTCTTGCCCCTGTCTGCCCCTGGCTGACTCCCCGAGGGAAGTGCCATTTATGCAGAAGGGGGGGCCAAGATCACTGGCGCCTTGTGCCTGAGTCTGGCACCTGCTTCCAACTCGAGGAAGCCCCACTTTCAGGGCTGGCCTGGGTCTAGGGGTGGGGGGTGAAGGTGGCTCTGATCCAGGAAGCCCCCACTCTGGGCCCTTGGGGCAGACTGGGCTGTGTGTGAGAACAGGAGAAATCTGGGAGGAGGCAAATAGATTCCTCCGTCCATGCCTCTCCCGGTTATCATGCCTGCTTTCTGTCGCTTGGGGCGCTGCCCAGCAGCACACGCCTGCCCATGTGGTTGTCACAACTCAAAATGGGTGCCTGGTGCATAGCAGGTGCAGGCAGAGCCCTGGCTGCTAGTACCTGTCTATTATGAACTTTGCCATCATCGATGCTGGGCTTAGATTTTTTAAGCTAAGCATGAAATATTTTATTACAATATCATAAATTTTTTTCGAAACAGAGTCTCGCTCTGTAATTCAGGCTGGCCTCGAACTCACAGCAACCTTCCTGCCTTAGCCTCCCAAGTCCTGGGACCACAGGCATGCACCACCATGCCCCGCTCTATAATACGATAATTTTAAAATTAAACATTGAATGGGCAGCTTACATTTGAATAATTAAATATCATGTCAAGGAAGACTGTTAGAGGAGAATGTGTCTGGAAACATCTGGGTGTTTGTGTGTGTGTGTGTGTGTGTGTGTGTGTGTGTGTGTGTGTGTGTGTACAGGGTGTGGATCCAGCATACACAGCATCCTATGCATAGGTATGGGGTTGTTTTCCATTGTACAGGCACTGTGTGTATCTTCAGCCCTCATCACCTCCACTCTGCCATGGGCTCTGTAACACCTGGCACACCTGCCTCTACCTTAGTTCCTACCTGTGTCAACAGTGGTTATGGATGAGCATCCAGTCGTGGAGAGCCTATGTTGCCCGAGGTCCCCAAGCTATGTAATGCCCAGGAGAGGGCTAGAACCCACATCTGTCCAGGCCAGGGCTGGCCCACAGCCACCCCAAAATCCCTACGTTGGGGGAAAAACCATCAACAGCTGCAGAGCTGACCTGGCCGAGAAGCCAGCATCCAGAAGCAGGCACAGGCATGGAGACAGTAAGAAGAGGTGGCAGCAGCATCTTGGGACGATGCAGGGAGAGGGGCTTGGGGGTTATAGTAATGAGGGGCAGCCCCGGATTCAGGCAGGGGAGTGGGGCTTAGAGTTCACGGCAGCGGGTGGCAGCCCTGGGCTCAGATGCAGGTGCAGGGCTTGGCCGGGACTCCTGAGGGGCCGGGGTCCCTCGGTGTCTCACTGGGCAGCCCCAACTGGATGCAGCTGATTTGTACATGGGCCTCGGTCTTGTGGCCAGAGGTGCTGGGGCTGGGGCAAATGGGACTGTCCTGCTCTCCACCAGGGACCAAGGAGAGGGCACAGCAGCAGAAAAAGCACAGCAGCTTCGAGGAGGAGCTCTCAGAGGTTGTGGGGAACCACAGCGACAAGGCCAAGCGGAAAGGTCAGTGCCACTCGGCTGGCCGGAAGTGGGTGGGGAAGCGAGGACGGCGAACACCATAGTCACAATGGTCAGGGTTTCCACGGAGCCGGAGCACCTCCTTTAAGCCCGAATGTTAGCTGGTATTTCCTTCCCTTTGCACATGGAGAAACTGAGGCCCAGGGAGATTAAGTCCTTTGCCCAAGGTGAGCCCCCTGATAAGGATTTGAATCTGGGTCCCACCTGCCCACCTCAGGGCTGGCATTGTAGGGCAGAAAGTCTCTGGCCTGGCAGTGCCTACCCTGGGTCTGCCCCGTGGCCCTCCCCAGAATGCCTACAGGGCCTTGGTGGCCCCTTAGAGTGGCCAAGCTGGAGGAGGATGTGGAGCAGCGGGCTCAGAATGCTAAGTAAACTGGGTTAACATTCTTGAAACCAAAGAGCTTTCAGGAGTCAAAGGGGTCACGGCTCCGGGCGATGTGACACCCTGTCACCCATCTGCCCTTCAGAAAGAGCCACAAACTGCAGGCTCTTTGCATATGGCAGTGGGCGGCTAAGGCACGTTTCCGGGAGCTGGGTCACAGTGGCATTGCAGTGTGGCAGTGAGGCCGGCTGCCTGCACACTGTCCCAAGCTGTCACCCTGTGGCCACTTGGGGTGCTGCTTGGGGCCCAGGGGAGCCTGCAGGGCAGCAGGGAAGAGATAGAACATCTGTGTGCAGGCGTGAGCTTGCCCCTGGAAGCTTTAATTCCAAATGACCCTGAACTCTGTTTAGAGACATGGGATCAAGGCTCAGTTCTGCTGCCTACAGCCTGCAGGAGCAGGGACAAGTCACCTAACCTCTCTGAAGGCCAGTCTGGGTCTCTCTGTAACAGGCACAGGACCACCGGTCCCCTGGAGTCCTGGTGACACTCAAACAGTGGCCTGTGCTTGGCCATGCTTTGTTCGGTGGTGATCATTCTTGTGATGAGAGGGAGTTTATTGTCGCCAAGAAAATACCTTTTAATAAAACCCTGCAAATACTAAGGAACTGAGCACTTTGACAAGATACCCAAGACAGAGAAACCCCACGTGGAAGGGACAATGCAGTCCCTGTTGCCTATGACACAGAAAGATTAAGCGACCTGCTCAAAATCACACAGCAGTTCAGCTGATGTCCTAATTTTCAGTTCAGATTGCTGTCTTCTGGGGTCATTTTCAAGGTCTGTTGATTTTTGGGTTTGGTTTTTTGTGGTTTTTTTGTACCAGGATCGAACTCAGGATCTTGCGCTTGTGAGGCAGGTGGCAGAACCACTGAGCTAAATCCCCTGCTGGGTTTAGTTTTTAGTTTTTAAATCACATCCTGTTTTAAGAGGCAGACTTAAAGAAACACCATCTAGTTGTGCCCAGAGCAAAGCCCAGACACAGAGCTTAACTCTAATGCTTGTCTTGGGGCTCGATGGCAGCCAAGCCATGTGGTGACTAAGATCTGAAATTGGCCTCTGGGGAGGCCCCGCATGCAGCCTGGTCCTCAGGGCCTGACTCTGCCCTGTTGTTTCTGCAGACGTGATGGAGGAAGCTTCCCCCAAGGATGCCATGGAGCGAGGAGGGGATGGTAAGGAGGAGAATGCTGAAGCCACAGAAGAAGCTAGGCCCCAGGCCCTCCCGGAACCTAGGCAGGGCTCTGTGACCTCAGGGAGCAAGCGGGCCCCCAGTGAGGAGGAGGAGGAGCAGGAGGCCCCCAACACCCAGCTGCCAGCCAGCCTCCCCAGCCAGGAACACCCAAGCCCTGCACAGAGTCTAGAGGACGGCCAGAAGGGCACAGGCGCAGAGCAAGGGCAGCCGGAAAAGAGGGAGAAAGAGGAGGAAAAGGAGGAAGACGAAGAGGCCGGAGACGCCGGAGAGAAGGCTGTGCCCGGGGGAGAAGACCCCACTGCAGTGCTGAACTCTCACCAGGATCTCAGTGACAAGGAGATCCAGAAAGGCGACAGTACGTGGGGTGACAGGGACCTCAACAAGCATGTCTGGGAGATGGGGTGGGTGGAAGGGACCTTATCATCCATTCCACCTTCTCATTCCACCTTCATCACTGTCTGGAGACATTGGTGTTATCTCCATGTTCCAGATGGAGAAATGAGGCTCAGAGAGGTTAAGGGATTTGCCCAAGGTCATACAGCTCATGGGTAGTGAACGCTGAGGGTCCAACCCTGGCTTGTCTGACCCCAACAGCCACCTCCAGTCTGGGAGGCAAGAGACCTTTGCAGGGTGAATGGCCGGTGGGCTCTGGCAACAGACCGACAGTATGTCGGGTGGGAGCAGGCTGAGCCGGGACAGTGTCAGCTTCTACTAGGGTTTAGGAGACTCTGGCTTCTCTTGAGGGTCTTATCAGGGCCTCCCTCAGGCTGGGTCAGGGGCTCCCAGGGCGAGGGGCCAGAGGAGGAGGTGGGCTCTAACTATCCAACCCCTTTGAGCTGAGAGGGTCTTAGAAACATGGGATCAAGATGGCGCCTCCCTCTGAGGGGTCCCTGTGGAGAGACTGGGCTGGACCCTGAGATCCCACCTGTGGCCCCAGGAGTGACACTGGGGAAAATGGCGGCCTCTCCTCATTTCCTACTCTTGTCACCATCTGCTCCAGGTTGGTCCGAGGCCCTGGATGTCGATGGAGCTGGGAAGACTGGGACTGAGGAGGCTCGGCCCACCGAGGGGAAGGGAGAGCAGGAGCAGGAGGAGGAGGAGATGGCAGGGGTCCCCCAAGGCCCCTTCCGGGGTGGGAAGAGCAGGGAGCTGGAGCAGGAGGAGGAGCGGCTCTCCAGGGAGCGGGAGGACGCCGAGCGCTGGAGCAGGATGGATCAGCTGGCCAAAGAGCTGGCAGCCGAGAAGCGGCTGGAGGGGGAGGACCAGGAGGACGACCCTGACCGCTCCATGAAGCTCTCCTTCCAGGCCCCGGCCTATGACTTCCGGGGCTCTGGGCCGCAGCTTCGACGAGGCTGGAGGCCGTCTTCCCGGGAGGACAGCATCGAGGCTGGCCTGCCCCTCCAGGCCCATGGCTTCCGTGAGGAGAAGAAGGAGGAGGAGGGCAGTGCCAACCGCAGAGCAGAGGTTGGTACGGGGAGATGCCAGCCCTGGGCCAGGCCCCGGACGTGCCGGCCCACCCTGACACGTGTCCCTGGCCCCACTGCGGGGACATGGTCCCCTGGCACCTGGGGCTAGAGAGGTGCTCAGAGAGGGGCTTCTGAGGGAGGGGAATGCCTAGCTCACAGTGGGCAGGAGGACAGGTGAGTGGCAGGGAGGCGAGTGGCAGGCAGAGTGGAGACTTCCTCCTGAAGGCCTTCAGGAGCCTGTGCAGCTTGTGAGCAGGTCATGGGGGTGACGGGCAGGGCTTGGAAAAAGAAGGAGCTGGCAGGACTATCTCGGGAGCTGTGGCCCTGAGAGCTAGGAGGGAAGTGGGCAGGACACTAAGGGCCAGGTTTTGCAGTTGGTGCAGGCAGGTCCTCCTGGACCCCGGACCACCTGGGCACACTGTCCTTCCAGGTTGAGGCCCACGATGGCAGAGGGGGGACAGGGCCAGATGTTCCCTGGGGTGTGGTGAACGGTAGGGACCACGGACATGTGTCAGACCTGGGTTCATCCTTGTCTCAGCCGTGTGGCTTTGGGCAGGTCAGTGCCCTCCTCTGAGCCTCACCAGTACCGCATTTGGGAAATGGGGATAAGGAGTCCTTTCTGCTCACCTCATTGTCACAACAACACACACGAGTTTGAAGACCTGGCCTGCCTAGGGCCACTTGGGCAGCTGACTGGGGTGGTGCAGGGATACTGGTGGAGCCCCCGGGAGAGGTGGGAGCCGGGCTCTTGGCAGCTGGAGGAGGCCCTGGTGGCACCTGGCTCAAGCTGCAGGCCCAGGTGGAAGCGAGGCTCCAGGGTGCCACACCTGTCCACAGCACTGACCCTAAGGCCCTTCTTTGCCCACCCAGAAGGAGTGGCCCCTTCTTTGGGCCCTGACCCTCTCTCCGGGCCTGGGATGGGGGCCTTGTTGGCAACCTGAGAGGAAGAAGGCCCCTTCCTGGCCACTGGAGCTGGGAGAGGGCATATGCCCATGTTCCCTGAGCCTGGGCGGACAGGCTCAGGGGCAGCAGCTGTGAACCCAGCACAGGTGGAGCGGCCTTGAGCACCTGGCCCTTCCCCACCCACTGACACCAGGGAGAATTTCCCTCCAGCTTCCCTTCTGTACAAGCAGGGGGAACCCCAGGTGGCAGGTGGAGAAATGGGGACCCGAGAGTCTTGAGGACAAGATGGGGTGAGGGCCTCCTCCTCCCAGTACAAGACGAGCACCACAGAGCTCAAGCCCCTGTCTCCAGGGCAGCCACTGTCAGTGACCCTGTGGACAAGGTGTGCCATCAGCAGTCCCAATCAGCAGGGACCCCAGGAAGACAACCCCTGTAGGTGAAGACCAGGGAGGTGGCCAGGGGCTGGGTCACAGAACAGGGCTCAGAGGGGCGTGCCTCCGTCCCTGTACACACTGGCTGCCAGAACTTGGGATCCCCAAAGATCGGGACCAAGGATGAAGAAGGCCCAGCTGTAGGCAGGTGGGTGTGGGTGCCGTCATAGCACCCAGCCTACCCCACATTCTCCATAGGACAGAGACTAGAGCACAGAACCAAAGCCAGGCCAGGTTGATCATGGGAGCCACTGCTCCCTGTGCGGATGTATGTGTCAGTGGTGCTGCCTAAAGGGATGGAAGCTTTGTTTCCCACGTGCCCTGAACCATTAGGACGAAGTGGGGCCGAGAAGAGGCTCCCAGGGGCAGCTTCCCCGCCTTCTTGTGATCACAGTCCTCAGGGCAGCCCAGCAGGGCGACGTCATTGTCGCCATGAAACAGATGAGGCTCACAGAGGTAAAGCCACCTGTCCAAGGCCACACAGCTAACCAGGAGCCCTGCCAGTCTGGCTAATTGTCCCTCGGTGCTGCTGGCACAGGCCAGCCCTGCAGTGACCCTCAATGCTCTGTCCTAGGACCAAGAGCTGGAGAGCCTGTCAGCCATCGAGGCAGAGCTGGAGAAGGCGGCCCACCAGCTGCAGGCGCTGCGGAGGGGCTGAGGCATCAGCGGGGACAGCCGGCCAGGGCCCCAGGTCACCCCATGGTCCTGCCTCTGTTGTCCCCTCTACAGGTCCTGGCCAGATGGGCCGGACGCTGCTTCTGGTAGGCAAGTGTCCTCCAGCCCACCCAAGCCCAGGCCACCCTGTCACCCCCACACTCCTCTCTGCTCTTACCCTGCCCTGAACACCCACCTCGGGGAGGCCCCGTAACTTTCAACGCGGATTACTCCTCTGTGCGCACAGGCAGCTTTCTAGAAGTTCCCCTCCACCTTTGCATCCACTGGGCACAACTGCAATAACTTCTGACCTTTTGGTGAAAGCTGAGAACTCCTGACTATAATATATTCTGTATTAAATTTATCTAAGGAAAAATAAATCCGCTCTGGGCACTTTCCTTTTTGGACTTTTTCCCTTGTCAACTCTTGAGTGGGGTGGGGTACACTGGACTTGGGCAAAGGGACTGAGGGGTTCAGTCTGCCTGGGGTGATTCCTTTCTGGGCCACTTCCTGGCTGCGGGATTATGGGTGGCTTTGCCCCCATGTGCTTCCATTTCTGCATCTGGAGAATGGGGGTGCTGACCTGCCCTCAAGGATCCGTGGACGGTGTAGGTGACACGAGGCAGGCTGGGACGTGTTACCTGTTCTGAGGCTGCCCTTCCAAATGGGCTGTGTCCCCTCATCACCTGTGGGGCCAGCTAGGGGCCCTGACGGCCATAGGCACCAGACCAGCTGTGGACCTCCTGATGTGTTCTCTGAACTGCATGAGTCCATACTATCTCCAGCAGGACCGCTGGCCACAGGCACAGGACTGTGGGGAGTCTGGAGGTTTTGTGCATGTAATGGTTCCCTAGAACACAGCAGGTCTTAGTCTCAGTTTTGAGAAGGAAGAAACTGAGGCAGAAAAGGTGAAAGGGCTCATCAAATTCACAGGGCAAGAGTGAGGCTCCCAACATTTAAGCACAGGGTTTGTGTGAGATTATGTAATCAGCACAGGCCAGGCTGAGGCGCTGCACCCCTGTGTGTTGGTGGACCACCAGGACCTATCATTCAGTCATTCATCAAACATCTGTGCATGGCTGCTTTGGGCCTCACAGGCCTGAGCTTGTAGCAGGTGACTAGGACAAGGCTTTGGCCTGGGATCTGCAAGTCACCTATCCAGGTGGCAGCTCCGGGTCCTCCATCTAATAAGTGCAAACCAGTGTGGGTGCCTCTTCCAGGCAAGGGTACCAAGACTTCTGGGTCAGGCCTGGTCTTGGCAGGCACCTCTGTGGTGCTTTTGTCCTTGGGCCGGAGGGCACAAGCATTGTGGACCAGGCTCGAGCACCACTCACTGCCACCCCAAGGGGACCCAGGCAGAGCCAAGTCCAGGGTACCATTTGGGAGCCATGTTCTGAGGGCCCAGGTTCTGGTGGTGGCTCTGACCAGGCCAGGTTTGGGAGTGAAAACCCAGAGTTTGACCTCAGACTGAAGGCAGAGTTCCCACCCCCGGCACTAACTAGCTGGAGAGCTCAGCAGGCCTTCTGGGCCCTCACGGGGCCTCAGTTTCCTCATCTACAGAACGGGGATAACACTTTCTATCTCCTTGCCAGACTGTGGTAAGGACTGGAGGGGCCGGGCAGCATGACCAGAAAACTATGACAGGAATCATTGTGGGGTCCCAGGAAGCCTGTTGCTGCTGGTGCCTGTTCCCGAAGCAGAGGTACACCCTCTGAAGGGCCATGGCCACAAAGGGTTTATTTCCTCACCTGTTCCAAAGGGACAGGTTCACGTGCCACTGACAGTGACAGAGTAACAACACGAGGTATATTCCACCAGGCCAGGAGAAATCAAAACATCCTCTACCAAGCCTACTTGGGAGAGAGCCCAGGGACACCTTTCCCCCAAAGCAACCCATCCCAAAGATGAGCCAGCTGCATTGTAACCACAAGGAGCAGACACACAACCCAATTTAGAGCACTGATGGGCAGAAGCCAAGATTTTATACATAGAAATATATAACAGCCAAGTACAAACCAGCTTGGGTTCTGGGAGAGCTGCTTATGAACAGGGTAGGGTTGCAGCGAACAGCAGTTGTCACAAAGCACAGGTGGAGGGGTTGGCACAACCATCGATGTCCTAGTGAAAGCTTCTCTGAGGGGGTTGAAGAGAGGTGACCTGCGCACCCTGGAGAGGGGCCCACCTGTCCAAGATGCCAGGTTGCAGGAGACTCAAGAAGTAAAGAGAATGCACCACCATCTGGGAAAGGCCCTGGATAGTGTTGGTGAGGGGCATTCTACTGGTCACAGCCAGGAGGAGGATCCAGCCATAGAAGCCACACCACCCATGGCAAGCAGCTCTCCTCTGCACAAGGTGACGGGGGCACCCAAGACCGTGCTGGGAAAGGCTGTGCAGAGAGCCAGAGGCAGGAGGGCAGGACCCAAGCAAGGACCCTTAGCCGCATCGTTCGAATGGGGCTCAGGCTGGGGCAGGTGAACATGGCAGTGAGTGTGGCTGGGCCAAGTTGAGAAGGCGAAAGCCAGACCCCCCCATCAAGGGTCACTGCACTTGTCCACCTCACAGTGACCTGTGCAGAGGAGCTGAGCTCCTTCAGGGACAGCCGGTGCCCAGCTCAAGGGCTCTGGAGTCACAGGGGCAAGGATGGGAGCTGCCCACTGGGTGAATGACCAGAGTTTCTAGGGACGAGAGGGCAGACACAAACCCCAGGGACATCAGTGTGGCCATGCAGTGGCTCTCTGTGGCCAACAGCCAGTGTGATTGCCCAAGAGCCAAGCACCAGGCTGGAAAGATCAAGGACAGTTTCCCTCGGTCTCGAAGACACTTTTCTCAGTGAGCTGGAAAACCAGCTTCCTACTAGGTCTTTCAATCCGCTATCAAGCCCACTGGCTGGACTCTGAGGACAGGAATGCCTGTTCAAGGTCATTTTTCCTGCATTGATAGGACTAAGGACACAGGCAGGCCACATGCAAGATGTGACTCCCACATAGGACGCTGGGTAACTGCCGGCCAGCCCTACCCACATGTCAAAAACCCACACTTTCGCGACACCAGTGGCAAAGGCCCTAGTCAAGGTCAGGCTCCCCTGGGCTCTCCTGGTGAGGACCAACATCAGCAGCTAGCACTGCAGATGTCATGCTTGTAAAATCATCATTTCACAACCAAAGCATCCTTAAGCACAACTTGAACCAAGGCCTCTGTTCCAAAAGACTCCACGCAGGCACCATGCAGGCAACCTCCTAAGACTACCCAAGGCCTCAGCCAAAATGCGGCCTTGTCATGTGGCCTCAGTCGCACCCCCATGCACTGACCACCACCAAGAAGGGTGCTGCAGGTCTCAGGGCCAATGCACTGGCCAGCTAGGAATGGAGGCTGAGGCCTGGGTTCCAGCTCAGTGTGACGCTGGCTGCTAACTCCAGCAACCTGCTTTTCCTAGCAGGGCTTCCTGTAGGTGCAACGCTCCCAGTGGGCCAGAGTGGTACTGCCTGTCCCTAACACAGCCTCCCAAGGCCGGGGCCACCTGGGGTTTTCTCATCCTGGCTGCACAGGGCCACCCCACAGGGCATCTGGAGCCTTGTCAATGCTCCTGGGCCTGCTGGACGGCATCCACCAGCCCGACAGGCGGCTCCCGCCCACCCCACAGCTGCAGGGTCTCTGAGGTCACACCTCAGCCTCGGTTTTCATTTCTGGAACACACAACTGCCCCCCTTGCCACCCGCGTGGAGACCTGCAGGAAGCAGTTACTTGACACTCAGCCCTGGACGCAGCCATGCGTGACCCTGAACGCCGCACTGCACAGGGACCTGACACAGCTGGACCACACCGCACACCTTGCCTGTCCTTGTGGCTGACCAGCACTGGGGTTTTTAAAAGACATAAAGCTCCTTTATTAAACACTTTCTGTTTAAGGACCAGGAGGATGACATTAACAAATGTGATCAACATTTTGTAAACGCGTGCGAAATGCAGTTTGATTCAGTAGTTTATTTCGGAGACAAAGCAGTGCAAGAGGCTGTCCACGATTCCCGGCTTCCTGGGATCAGGGTCAATGCTTGGCTCGAGGAACCGTGGCAGTCCGGGGCCCTCACCTTCCAAGGAAGCTGGGCCCTTTGGTGGCTTCCGCCTGGCTCCGGCCCAGCCCAGAGGAAGCCCCCAGCAGCCCCACTGTGTGTCTGCCTCGGCAGCCTCTGCCTCACGGGACCAGAGGACAGACCAGAGGCCTCTTAAGACACAAGATGCTGCTCAGGAGGCCCCAGGCTTCTCGCCCGGGGTCCACATCTGGCAGGCCGGAGAAGGCTCTGCAGACAACCCCATCTCACGGGCTCTGGGATCAGCTGTGGTTGGCCTGCAGCCGCGGTGACAGGACAGAGTTGAGTCTGAGGTGGGTGCAGCTCCCGGCAGGCTGGCTGAGCACCCAGGCTTTCAGTGAGCACAGGAGGGCTGCGTGGGGCCTGCTTGCCAAACAAGGCCTGGTACGTGCGGACAGGTGTGATGCATACGGGCTGGGTGTCCCCCTCCCACCCAGGAAGAAGACCCCAGATAGCCCTGATGCCCAGCGGAGGCTCCCACACTGGCCTCATTCAGCATGGTGCCACAGAGAAGCAGGCTGCCTCTCGGGCCTAGAGCTGAAGCTGGCCCTCAGTTCTCTGGTCTCAGCCACCCACTAGAGACAAGGGGACAGAGGGCCAAAGACTCGTGAAATTGTCCAAAATCCTAGCACAAATCCTGGGTGCAGGTGGATTCAGCCCAGGGCTCCTGGCAAGGTGGTCTCCTCTGGGTCCCAGGAAGGGGCAGCACTGGGTTGGACCCATATGGAGGGGCCTGGTGACTCCAGGGAGCAGGGCAAGAATGGCGGCAACCAAGGGCCTCTCGGCCTCTGCCCACAGGAAACTTCCTTTCCCGGCCCCATCCTTGGGAGGTGGGTCATAATGCAGACCCCCGGCAAGAGCTCTGCCACTCTGCCACGGGGCCTGTGAGCTTCCCGGCTTAGGGGAGGGGTCACCTGCACACAAGGGCGGTGCTGGTCTCTGAAGACACGGCAGGAGGGCGGAGAAGGAAGGGTCAGGTCAGGGTGTGGACAGCCTTGAGCTGGGAGCAAGGGGAACAGTTCATTCGCTGGCTGTGCAGCCACCAACAGCCCGGTCAGGCCTCCCTGCAGGGTCCCCAGAGGCCTGGCCCTCAGCAGCCATGGAGACAGACACACACAGCCCTGCACACTTGCACAGCAATCACACGATCACACACACACACACACACCCCTCACATTCAGACCTAGTGTTGAAAACACAAGCGTGTGTAAACTCAGTGAAGAGATCTGCACAGCAGGAACTAGGCGGGGTGCCCCTTTTCCACGAGCAGGGCCACTGGGTGTTCTCTTCATCTCCCCCCACCCCTCATTTAGATCACATCATAAAATCAGATTAAAAATTAAAAAAAGAAGCATCAGATCACCGAGAATTCCTAGTGGCATCCCCGCTGGGAGCTGCTGGCCCAGCGGGAGTGCTCTGCGCCCCGCGCCGCCCCTCTGGGTCCCAGGCTCCATGGCTACTGTGAGGAGGCCTTGGTGGCCAGGGAGGGCACGCGGTGCTGCTGGAAGCTGGGTGACACTCCGGCAGTGCAGCCGAGTCTCTGGTGTGGCAGCTTGGTGGAGCCACCCGCATCCATTCCACCTCCGTCGGCCTCTGCGGTCCAGGGTGCATCCTGGCCCATCATGCTGCTGCAGCAGCCAGGCCCGGCGCTGCACGTCCGCTCGCCCGCCAGGCTGCCCGCCTGCTCAGCCAAGAGCCTGCTGTGCCTCAACGGGGCCACTTCCCCCGAGGCACCCACGCCGGTGCTCTGGTCCTGCAGGACGGTGGCGATGTGGTTCAAGAGGTCTGTGAAGAACTCGCTCACGCCCTCGTATCCTGGGGTTGGAGAGACAGAGGGCACCGGGGAGTCAGCACAGGGGTGGGAGGAGGCAGCAAGATCACAAGCTCATGGAAACAGAGGCCCTTGCAGTATCCAACTCCCATGGGAAAGCTAGCATCAGCAAAGAGGAGGCTGGCGGAAATCAAGCTGGGTGCATGTGGCCCCAAAGGGCTGGCCCATGACCTTGGGGTGTGCCCAAGGGGTGGGAAGCTGAGAACTTCAGCTGATGCAAACACCCTACCCTGTCCTGTCCCTGTCCCTGCTGGAAAGGTCTCAGCATCTCACTTAATCACCTGTCCACCCACTGCTGTGGTTTGGCTAAGAGTCCCCCAATGGCCCATGTGTTAAGCCTGGTCCCCGGTCCACAGAGCCTCATGATGAGTGGGACCTTCAAGAGGTGGGGTCCAGCAGGAAGTCTTCCGGTCAATGAGGGCGTGTCCTTGCCCCCCAACTTCCCCCCCTCTTTCGTTTCTGGCCATTAACTGAACAGGCTTTCTCTGTCCTGGGCTTCCCCCCTGCAAGGTGCTGCCTGGTCAGGTCCAAAAGTAATGGGGCCAACTGGTCACAGACCAAACATTCAAACCTGTAGCTAAAATAAACTCGTCCTTTTGCGGTATCTCGGGTATTTTGTTACGGTCATGGAAAGCTCACAAACAGTACACCGTGTGGTAAGGGGCAGGGGCCAAAGGCCACCCCTCATGCTCTAAATAATGACCGGACTCCTTGCCTGAGGCTGGATTGGTGCCACTGTGTCTATTCTGTGTCTCAGCTTCCACATCCGGGCACCCCAGGAGGGGCTGGCATGTGGGTGGTGTCTGACTCTTCCTTTCTCACCCGGGAACAGCTGCAAGGCAGTCCTCTGTGCCCCAGGCACTGGGATCAGCACCCAAACTCAAAACCATAAGCCACAATGAGCCATTATCTAGAGCACGGGGTGGGTGTGTTCATCCGCTTTCCATTCATCACTATAGCAAAATACCACAGACAAACATGGCAAAAAGCCCTTCGGCCAGGGCTGGTGAGTCTGGATTATAAACTGCTCCTGCCATTAGGCGTATGTTCCCCTCACGGATGTGAATGTCAGCAGAGCGCTTGGGAGACACCCAGCAGCTTTCAGTGCCAGGTGAGGATTTGCTGACTGCCAACAAACCACCTCCAAAGAGATCTGCCCTGGACAGCACCTCCTGCCCTCCTGGGCCCATTTGGAGGGGTGAGAATTGGCACCCAGCCTGGAAAGCAAGGAGGAGGCCAGGGAGTGTACCCTGAAAAGGAGCCACAGCGGGTCCCCAGAGCAGCTGTGACCACCACCACCGACACAGAGCCCAGTGCCAAGGGGTTGAACGAGCGCCGGGTGGCACTGACAGGTTGGAACAGGGCACTGAGGGGCCTGAAAGAAGAGCTCTGGGGGCAGAGCCTCCCTGGCCTGTGCTGTGCCACTCTGTCCCTATCTTACAGCTGAGGACGCAGGACTGTTAACCGTGACAGTGGCGATTATGATTTTGTTCACAAAGCACCCAGTGGCACCGGTCATTGGGCTGGGAGCTTTGCCTTCCTTAGCTCATGCACCACCACAGCCCCCATTTACAGAGTAAAACACTGAGGCTCAGAGAGGCCCATGTCACAAAGCTCCTATGTGGCAGATCTGGGAACTGTGTGTGCCTTGAACACCACTTGGTGCCTGGCAGCCCTGTTGGCCCTGGGGCTGGGGGTGAGCGGCAGGGCAGAGCCAGAATGCAGGTGCCTAGGCTGCTGGGGGCCTGGGAAGAGATTGGAACAGGGCATGAGCAAAGGAGACCCAGGCAGGTTGCCAGGAAACCCATAAGCTGTTCCCAAGCAACCACTCTGCTTCGGTCCCCAGACAAGCCTCGGAGGTCCAGGCAGAGCAGGTGGGATATGCCTTCTCAGTGGGGCAGAAGCCTGTGGGTGAATGGGAGGCCAGTGGAGGAGGAAACCAGCAGGGCCAGGAGCCAGCCCCATGCACACCATCTCCTGTAACAAGGGGGCTGAAACGTTAGGTGACTTGAACCATCACAGACCATAAAGGCAGGGACAGGATGTGGACCTGGGGCTGGAGCTCTGAGAGGTGGGGAGTTGAATGGTCAGAAGGCAACATGGCCCATGAGCCCTAGTCCTGCCTCCCCCTCTTAGGGACGGGGCCCCAATGCTGGCTCCCAGCACTGCAGGACAGGGCAATGGAAGGAGCATGTAGCTGGGAGTGGCTGGCCCTGTCACCAATGCACCATGTAACCCAAGACAATTTCTCTCTAGAGGCCTCAGTTTTCCTACGTGTAAACTGTGGAGGGTTGTGCTCCCTCCAGCTCCTTAAGTCTGGAAAGTCCCAAGGCATGGACTGATTGGGCCAATCAAGACCAATGGTGCAACTGATGGCACAGGGTCAGAGATGGGTGGAAGACAGTGTGCCTGCGCCTGCTGCCTTCCTGGCACAGACACTCGGGTCTCCCTGCCCCTCCCACACCTCGGCACCCAGGCCACTGTTGCTCGAGGATGTGTAGGTGGAGCAGCACTACCCCAGGCCCCACAGGCATGTTCCTCTGCCACTGCTCAAAGACAGAGGCTGAAAACCCCGGGGCCCAGTGAGGGTGGCTGCTCACCTGGGAAGGCGTTGATGTCAATGACGGCATGCTGCCCCGTCTGGTTGTTGATGATGATGTCGATTCCAAAAAGTGAAACACCCAGCGCCTGCCGCAGGGCCCGGGACAGCTCCCGGATGACCTCGTCACTGGGCCGCTCGAACACGCCCTCGATCTTGTCCAGCTGCCGACACATACAGAGGTCAGGCTGGGGTGAAGGGTGCCGGGCCACACCACACAAAGCACCCCACACAAGGTGCCACAAGCCCTGCCATCCTCCAGGCCAGGATGCAAGGCAGGTGCACCATGGTTAGCACTTGCCCCAGACTCCAGAGCAACAAGGGCTACCCCTTCTTGAGTACTGCTGAGGGTTAGGACGCCCTAGAGTAGACTGCTCGGCGTGGGGTGAGTGCTCATCACTCCCAGGGAAGCTGGTGTCAGGATCAGCATTTCACACACCGGGAAAAGGGCTCGGAGAGAGTCAGGGTCGGCCCGGAGTCATACAGCATGAAAGCACAGGTCTTTCTGGCCTCTAAGCCCAACCCTCTTGCAGGGAGGAAGGAGGTGCGGAGTGTGAGGGATCCAGAGGACATGATGACGCAGATGGTGCTGAGTGAAGCCTTGCAGGTGGGGAGAACCTGGGGTCCTGGGGAAGCGGGGTAGGCCTGGGGCAGGCAGAGTGGAGGCACAGAGACAGAAGCCGCAGGAGACGGGGATGGCGGAGAGGCAGGCCCTGGGCTGTCCTGATGCCCAACCCGTTCATCAGGCACAGGCAGAGAGCCTCGAAGGTGCGCAGCTGAGGGTTCTTGGGTGAGTCCATCTTCCCTTCCCACAGGTGTCGGACTGGAGCAGGTCCAGGCGCTGCCACCCCACTGGACATGGCCTTTCCCAGGGGGCTGCTTGCTGCTGCTCCTGCCTGACTGCCGGGGCCATGTTCAGCTTTCAGTGAAGCTTCTCTGGGGCTGGCAGGGCTGCCCTGGCCCCAGTTCTCCCACTCTGCCCTGCACACCCCTCGCTTCCTGCCCTAGTCCAGGAGGATGGCACAGGCACGTCGTGAGCCTTCCCGTGTTCGGGCCCAGCCCCCTGGCCACAGCCTCCACGGAAGTGGACCTTCACACTGGGGTTAAGGGATTTGGATTCCAACCTTGACAGTGACTTCCCAGCTTTGTGGATGCAGGGGAAAGTGTCTCAGTTTGCCCATCTGTAAAATGGGAACAAGGAAGCTTCCATCCCATTGCTGGGATAAGGAGGGGGGGACATGGTGGGGATACTGCAGGCCTGGCTGGCAGGAGGTGCTGCATCTGAATTTAGGGCAGGGACTAGCATGTCACTTCACACCCAGCCAGAACACACTGAATGCCTAACAAATGCGGAGTTCTGGGTGCTGTGATTCAGGGGCCAAAGGGACCCTTGATGAAAGTGCACCTGGGTCAAAAAGTTGAACACAGAATTATCATGGGACCCAGCAACTGTGCTCCTGAGTTTAAACACAAGGGAGAAAACAGGACCCCAACCTTCCCTTGGACACTGAGCTGCGGCATCTTTCACAACAGCCAAAGGTGGGAGAGAGCCAGTGTCCGCCACTAGATGCATGGAGAAACTGTGGTATATCCACCTGTTCAACAGAACACTGTTCATCCCTGAAAGGAGCGGAATTCTGATACACAATCATACTACTATGTGGGTGGCCTTGGAAACATCACACTAGTGAAAGAAGCCATCCCCGAGAACCGTGTGTCGTACGACTCCATTTATATGCAGTGTCCCGAGTGGGCAAATCCATGGGCATGGGCATCAGAGCAGTGGCTGGAGGCGGAAGGGAGAGACGAGGTTCACGGGCGCAGAGTAGTGCGGGCTGAAGTACCTACCACCTTGGAACTGCTCACTTGAAGGTGGGTAATTTATGGGTGTGAACTTCATCTCCAGTTTTTAAAAAACTGAAGCTGGGTCAAGAGGGTTGGGGATAGAGCCCTCGGTCACCGAGGCACATGAAATGGTCTTTACCCCTGAAATGGACAACATGTGCGGAGCAGGGACTGACACCTGGCACCGAGCCCACTCTGTGGAGCTCTGCAGAATAGGCAGGGCCTGCCCGCCTGCCCTGAGGCCAGTGCCCTGCTGTCTGACCTGGGAAAGTAAGTCCTTGCCAGGAGCCTCGGTAGCCCGGTAGAGCTTCCTGGGCCACTTGAGGCCTGAGGTTCAGCCCACGGAGGCAGCTTAGTGAGGCGGTCAGCTCACCCAGTCAGAGGCCCAGGAGGGTGCCCTGGCTTGCCCACGCCCTGCTGCATGGCCCTGAGCTGTGACCAAGCCGTCTTGGACGTGGGTTTCTCAGCCCAATGAATGGGTGATAAGAACACTCGTGGTACGAGATTCTGGTGAGCATCGAAGGAGCTGGTGTTTCAGGCTGCCAAGGCTGCTGTCCTGTTACAGTCTCCCAACATGCTGTTTACAAAAGCTCTTTCTCAGCCCAGCGAAGGGGTCTTAGAAATCAGTCTGAAGCCATGTGATTACTCAGAACCAACAGCCAGCCGGGGTCAAGATAAAGGCATGGAAATCCTGCCAGTGTGTTAAACACAAAGGATGTAATGGCGTTCTGGGGAAGGAGGCAATGGAGTGAAGAAGGTGTCCCTGTGGGCTGTCCTGACGGCCCTCATCCCCAGCACAGTGACACTGGGCACCCAGCAGAGGGTGCAACTCACTGGACCCCATACCACCTCTGGGGCAGGAGAGGGAAACCCGGATCAGGCCCCAACTGAGCCTCAGCCCCACCAGAGCTGCTGCTCTTAACGAGTCCTCCACGGGCTCTGAAAGGTGAGAGGTGGCTGGGCCTGCAAGATGGAGCGCAGCGGAGCCCAACTCAAGGGCACCGGTTGGGACAGGTGGGCTCCCAAGACCTCCAGTCCCTGGAACACAGTGGCTGTGTCAGGCCGGCCTGCAGGTGTCCGGGAGGAGCCGGCCCTCCCGTGGAGAAGATGGCACCAATGTTGTGGCCCTTTCCTCTGCCTCCAAGGGTCAGCCCAGGCAGCATCTCGAGGAGCAGTCGTGTGTTGAATGGAAGGCAGGACAACTGCAGGCCTCCCTGGTCAGGGAGGACCCGGCTGTGTCCAGGCTGACCTCTTCGGTGTTCTCAGATGAGGAAACTGACGTGGACCTCTAGAGCTCCCTCTGGCACTGGCTAATGTCCCAAGAGACACTAGCCCTGTACTGCCAGGACACTGGTGGGGACAGCTTCTCAGATCTGTGGACCTTGGCTCCCTTCTGGGTGGAGCTCAGAGACGCCCGGCAGGGAGGAAGCCCTGGAAAGTCTCACATTGTGCAGACAGCCTCTCTTGCACTGAGCGCCTACTCCATCCTAGAGTGTGCACAGCCAGGCCCCAAGAGGCTTTGTTTAAAATCTGGTCACTCCCAAAGTTTCCCTGACTCATTCCTGGGGACATCTATCAACATTCTGAAGGATGGTGGTATCCCTCTAGGTCCCTGTCCAGGTCATGCTGTCTAATCCTCAGCACAAACCAGAAACTGGGCTCCTCAAATAAACCAGAAACAAACACCAAGTGGACACTCCACTGGGCTTAGCCCCCAGCGGGTGGCACAGAGGAGCTAGGCCAGGGTGTCATGGTCAGCTGCGGCTCTTAGCAGTGAGTCCAGCCCAGCAGAGGGAGAGAAGGGACACAAGCAAAGCCTCAGAATAGCAGATGGACACAACTTTGGGGGAGCAGGAGCCCCAGGGGAGAATAAGTCCAGGAAACGAGGCAATAATGCTGCTGGCCTGCTAGAGTAGGAGGGGAACAGCAGACTTAGCCCTGAGGTGGTTTCCATCTCTTCAGAGGCACTGCTCAACAAGGCCAGCACGGGAGGAAGTCCCCAGCTCCTGGGAGACCTAGCTCTGAATCAGATGCGGTCAAACCCCTGCTCGCCCTGTGCAAACTAGAGAAGTTACCAATTCTCGCCTCATTTCCCCTCTCCACTGGGCACCTGGGTGGAAGCCTCACATAGCAACATTCACTGAATGCCAGCTGCAATGTCCACTGCCACTGTGTTAGGGGTGGGGGACCCATGACACCCCACCATAGGCTCTTAACAACGCTCACAGGAGATCCACGTGGACAGGAGAAACGGGAAAGTGGCTTGGCCTTTTTGGAAGCAGGGTGGCAGATCCCAAGCCAGACCCTGTTCCTCAGGACTGGGGAATGCCTCCACCCAGGCCCCAGCATGACACGTGCCACATGGGTGCAGCTGAGATGTCCTGACCTTACCCTAACCCTAGGCCCTTTCCACCCTGCCCAGCCAAAGAGCTCCGTGAGGGGCCCCAAGGCCAACAGCACTCCACACCAGCCTCGGACATACCTCGGTGAGGACTGATGACGACTCTGGCTTTGACACATTGTGGCTGTTGAAGAAGATGGACTCACGGTCTGCAAAAGCACAAGACAGCAAGGGCGAGTTAGAACAGCCAGGTAGGGACACGATTCCACCAGCGGACACCAGGGGGCAGCACCACCCCAGCCACTAGCCAGGGAGGCTTCAGGCAGCAGGGCCAGGGCTCAATGGGCAGGGCACCCCTAACCCTCAGAGATGCTGCGTCGTGGGTGGATGTGTGCCCTGTTTCCATTTCTCCGCCCAGGTAAAAACCACTGGTTTACTGGGCCACCACTCCTGAGGTTCCTTCACACAGGATGCCTGCCTCAAGTGTGTCACATATATGTCAGCCGGGGTTGAATACAGGGAACTATAAGAGCTGACAGGGTGTGGACCCGGGTGTCAAAAGCCCCAGGACTCTTAGGGAGAAACGGCCAGGCTGCCACTGGTGTGCAAGAGCTTCAACTATTAAAGATTCTGCTGTTTCCCCACCATGATGGGAAAACACAGGCTTCCATAGGATCCATCCAAGAAAGCATCCAGAATGGTCTGCCTGTCTTCCCCAGAACGCTCTCCACCTCCTCCAGCCCACACGTCCCTGCTCCATGCCCGCCACTGCCGCACCCGTCCCCCTCCATCCCACTCAGGTGCCCAGGAGGCAGACAAATCCCTGGAACACTGAAGCGGTAAGTTGGTAGTGTGTTTGTTCATTTATCCTCGATAGATACATCCTTGTGGAGTTAACCAAGGTCGCTCTGGGGAGACGTAAGGCCGGCTGGTCAGCTAGGAATGTTCTCAAGCACTCCAAAGCAAGGGCACATGAAGGCAAGAATCATAAAACCACAAGCCCAGGGAGGAGTTCTGGCAAATTCTATCACCACCCCCTGGCCTCCCTCGGCCCCAAGAGTGGCACGGGACCATCCTGCTTAGGAGCCCCCGAGGAGCCCAAAGGCCCCTGCTGGAGTCTACACAGGGTGGGGCGCCACAGATCCCTCCCTTAGGACAAAGGGACTGTCCCTGGGACACAGATCCTGAAGCCTAAGGACAGGAAGGCCCCAGCTGAGGGCCTGTGTGCCAGGACTCGGGGTGCCACCCCCCGCCCCCAGTTCCAGGACTCCATAGCGCCGAAACAATCATGCATGAGGCAGTGATTCGGGCAGAGGCCAAGCAGACAGGCGCTGAGATGTACCTGGCATCCTTCCCGCTAGCGGGGCACAGAGGCCCTGGGCCACCCCGGTGTGCCCAGCAGTCCTCCTGCCGCTCCGACCAGAGCCAGTCCAGACGGGGGGCACGAGAGAAGGTCCCGGGGAGGAGCCTGGGGAAAATAAACACCCTGCGGGACTTGTGTCAAGCAGCTCCACCAATCTCCACTCCTGGGCACCGACAGCCACAAGGGAGCCTTTGGGGATGGCAAAGCTGGTTGGCCGGAGGGTGGGGCAGAGATCTGCAGTTGGCACGGGTGCTCTGGCCTTCTGCGCCAGGCCTATCTTCTTAGCCTGGGCCTTCCTCCAAGTCCAGGGGTGCTTTCCCACCCAGCCTCTCGCAGGTCCCCAAGGTCAGTGGCCAGATTGGCAGAGCAGAGGGTCAAGGGAGCCACCATCGGCGGGTAGACCCAACCAAGTTCAGGGAGGCCAGGGAGCCTACAGGAGTCACCAAGAGAACACAGGGGCACTTGGCTGGTGCCAGGCAAGGACGGAGCTGCGCCAGGCACCTGCCGTACCCATTCAACTGGACAGAGCACAGCCTCCAGCTGCTCCCTGAAGCAAGGTCAATGCACACATCTCTCAAAGGGAGCCCCTCACCCCCACTACTGGCCTGGTATGCTCCAGCCACAGGACGATTCGGCAGCAGATGCAGATGGTTCAACAGATGCCCCAGGCTCAAAATCTCTCCATGTGTAGCCAGAGCAGGGTTTCTAGCCACTGCCTGTCACCTGAGACTATGGGGAGCTGAAATGGGCTGGACAGAGTCCTGGCACCCAGTTCCTCGGGGATCTTTAAGACACCCCGTCCCTCTAACAGAGGGACTGGCCTAGGGCCTCGTTCCCTGAGTTCAACACGAGGCTCTTGGTCCTGGGAGCACCCTGGATTTGGGGGCCCCTGCTGGTCCCTGTTCTGACCTAGTCCCAAGAAACACACAGCATGGGTGAAAGAAGGGTCACCACCAGCGTCCTGCAGGGCAGGGCAGACAAGGAAAGGCATAATGAGCAGTGGTGTTCTCAACTTACAAGTGAGAAAACTAGATTCAAAAGAAGAATGAATCACAGGAACAGCCCTCAGCATTCCAGCAACTCAGCAGCACAGCCCGAGCTGTGGCCACACTGTCTCTGGCCTATGTGCTTATCTCTCGTCTCCTCTGGGTGTCAGTGAGACGCCATGTCACGGTGTTGTCAATGGTCACACAAGCCACTTTCCAGCTGCATTAAACCCCACCTCTGTGGAGGGCCCTGCACCTGCAGCCACTCCTCGCAAGGGCTCCCTCAAGAGATGGTGTCCCAGGATCCATGCTATTTCTCCTGGAGCCTCTAGACTCAGGTGACAGTTGACTCTTTGGTAATGTCCTCCCTGTGCGTCTCTCCTGCTGGAACACATGCTCACGAGGGCAGAACACTTGCCTGACTGGTTCCTGGCTGGGCCCCCAGCACCTGCACAGCGGGGCCAGGGCAGCAGGTTTGGTAAAACCAGCGTTTCATTGACCGGAAGAGGTGCTGGAGTCTAGACAAGCCCACTACAGGCTGCAAGCCAGGACACCTGCACTTGTAAATACGGTAGTTTCCTTGAAGCACAGCCCCGCCCATTCATCTACATCTCTCTACACCTGCTTTTGCTCTGCAAGAGCAGCATTAACGGGGATGGCAGTGGAGATATTAACCATTGGGCCATTTGCAGAAAGGTCTGCTGACCCTGCTCTGTATGCTAAGAGGTACCCCTAAGGGAAAGCAGGCCCGGGATGGGAATGTAATGGGGACCCTGCATAAATCTGGGAGTCCAACAAGCCATGTCCTCAAGCTCAAGGTCAAGGATGAGAAATAAATCCACCACACAGAAAGAGGGGGCCAAGGGGTGCCTGTCTACCTGGGGACCAATCTCGGCAGGAATGTGACCCATGGACAGAGAATAGAGGTGTAACCTTGTATCCTGGGGAGCAGCACAAGCCAGTGCCAACTCCTCATCAGAACTTTGCTTGGTTCCAGGCAAGGCATCAACAAGATGCCTTCAACAAGGCTCTAGAAATAATACCCTGACCTGGAGACGATGATGCATAGAAAACAAAAGTCCACTTGGCAATCGAGAGAGAACAGTGGCTGTGGAGAAGCATCCTTCTCTCTCCCAGGTCCTGAATGACCCCAGTCCCCACTTCCCTGGGTGGGCACGGGAAGCTGTGGCATCTGCCACAGTGGATGTGGGAGCCAGAAGGCTGGACGGTGGCTAGAAAGGAGCCACAGCCCAGGAGTGCCCTTTCCACCTGTAAAGGGCTGCAGCTGCGTTACAAAGAAGACACACGTGAAAGCCAGAACCCATGCTGCTTCTTTGGCACCGCACCCTAAAGACCATGGGCACAGAATCAGAAACCTGGGAGTTAGTTACCCAGTTTTCATGTGTGTTTGACCTGGGGCTGCATTGATGGCTTAGAAACAGCAAACAATCACAAGAAAAGACATGAATGAGGAGTTCTGATCCTGATGACCATGGCTCTGGCATTTTCTAACCTGGAAGAAAAAGTTGGAAAATGCAAACTAACACACTTCTGTGTGCATAAGAAAGAAGATCTGGTGGTGAATTTCTTTTAGAGATAAACTGATTTGGATAAAAAAAGAAAGGAGATGATCTAAGACATACTCTTTTCTTTGGGCAGTGCTAGGAATGAAACCAAGGGCCTTGTGCAGGCTAAGCACACATTCTAGCCCTGAGCTACACCGCTAGTCCTCACGATTCTTAGTTTAATATACTTTTCATAATTAAAAGAATGTACTTTTTTAAATCAGGAAGATGATAAAGTTTTATAACTATGTCAGCCTCCTCTGGTCCAGTTTGGAAGGATGTCGCCTGGTGATGCATGGTCACACAAAGACCTCTCCAGACACCTGCCTCCCAACCACCACCCAGCTCAGGCCAAGGCCCTGGGGTTGGGTGTGGGAACAGAGGTGAGGATGGGGCTCTCCTGGCCCTGGCTGGGCACACCACCTGCACTCGAACGGAAATGAAAAGAGTGTATTTCCAAAGCACCTGCTCTCCACTGTGTTAATGGAAAGAAAAAAGTGATCCAGGGAAGGAGCCCGCGTGTCAATGCTCCCAGGGATGGCATTTCTCCCATGCAGGCAAATGACAACATGCCGGAGCAAGGTGCACTGGGTAATCAGACGTCCCCCACAGGACCTCCCAGAAAGCTTATTCCAAAGGCACCGCCCGAAATGTTGGGCCCCTGTAATCCCCAGAACACTCTTCGGAGCAGCCCCAGTGCCAGCGGGTCTTCGACTTAGGGTCAGTTTGTAATGGCCAAGGGTAGCCAGTGCCAGGCCCACAGGAGGCAAGTAGTGAGCTGAGGGGAAAGTTGGGGACCGCAGGCTGCTCCTGGGAGGGCATTCTGGGGATGGAAGGACAGCAGCATGGTGCACACACTACCACTGGGCGACCTCTGAGGGACACAGAGGATCCCGATCCACCGATTCAAGACACTCACTGACCAGGTCCCCACCTTGCGGGTGCAGGGGTGGGGTGACTGTGTCCGCTGTGACCTGCTGAAGTCTTTGTACCCCAGCAGCTCTGCTTGCTAACAGTATACAAAACTTGGGCTCAGTCTCCCCATTTGGACAACAGAGATCAGAGTGGAGAGTGGTGTGACAGAGCCTTCAGCACCACCCTGCACTTCCCTGAGCGGCTGTGGGACAGCCGAGGCTCCTCCTGAGTCCTATCTGTGCAGGTCCCAGGACCCAGCTGCGGACAGGAAGCCTCCAGGCGCTTCCTGGGGTGGGCGTGGCTTTGCCAGCAGAAGCCCACAATGCCTGGTGCCTGGGGTCCTACTCCACCTGCATACAGCTCAGAGCCGCCAGGCCACCCCTTCAGAAGTAACTCAAGGCACGGGGGTGGCCGTGCCCAGGGTCTGGCACAGGCCACGAGCACACAAGGAGCAGATACCTGACGTGCCCGCGGAGAAGTTCTTGAGCGAGGGCCTCTGGACCACGGTGTAGGACTCGCCGACCACAAACACCTTGTAGAGCACGGCATTGTGGTTGATGAAGTTCTGGACCACACAGGGCGGCTGGATGGCGCTCAGGCCTTCCTGGTTGAACACGATGGCCATCTGGGAGACAAGTGTCAAAGGTTGTCGGAGTCCACAGCCTACCACCCCCAACACAGCAGGGTGTTACCTTCCAGGGTGGCCCCTGCTCCCCACCAAGGCTTATCCCTATGGCATGAGGTTCGTGGGGTAGAATGCAAGAACATGTGCGGATCAATTCACTTTTGCTGTGGGGGCTGGGAAATCCTACATCCATGGGGCCTGCCATGTAGAGATGGGCAGATTGTGCACTGCACAACTTCTAAGAGCGCTATTCACACCATAGTCCCAGGGAACAGGACCCCGGGGTTGCGTGCTGCTCAACCCTGTAATATCTTGCAGGCTCCTCCCAAAGGCCCAGGAGGGAGGCAGGTAGCAGAAGCCACGGATCAAGAGCTGGAGCCCTGAGGTGACAGTCACCTCCTGGGGCCAAGCCAGGCTCCAGCATTAAATGGGTGTCACCCTCACACGGCCCCTCCAAGACGGCACCCCGCCATTCCCCGATTACAGATGGGGAGGCTGAGGCCTTCGGGAGCTCGGGGACCTGCCGGAGAGTCCTGTCCTCGCGCCCCGGGAAGGACACAGCAGGGGACTGAGGCAGGGAGGGCAGGGGCAGCTGCAGGCAAGGTACCCTGTCTCCTGACCGAGGCCGGGAAGGACCCCGGCCACTGAGCCAGCGCAGTGCTGGGTTGAGCTAATCCCTCAGGGCCCCAGGATGGAGCCACCATGGCCCGGCAGCCAGGACTGCTGAGCAGGGACCATGGGGCCACACCAGCCACCGCGCCTAGGTGCCTGGCACTCAGGGGGCCAACAGGAACCCAGGGACACAGTGTGTGGGGCTGGGGGAGGCCGTCTCCCCTGGAGAAGCCCCCAGGAGAACAGGGAAGAGCCCCGGCTGCGCACACGGTAGGGTCCCCGCTCTGCTCCCTGTAGAACTGAGGCCACGCCACCAGGGTGGCTTCAGAGTACTCCGAGCTTTGCTTCGGGCTAAGATTTTCTACAAGGGGAAAAGGGAAAAGAAGAAGAGGGAGGGATGGCGCGAGAGGCTGCTGGCTCCCCACCCGCAGTTCAGTGACCTAAAAGGAAAACAGTGCTGGGGCAAAACCAGTCCTGGCCCCAGCAGAGGGCTAGGCTTTGAGGGAGGGAGGGAGGGAGGCGGGCCAGGAGCCCCCTCCTGGCTGCAGCCCCTCACGCACAGCTCCGCCTCCCGCCCTCCCTGCACCTGACACTGGGCCCTTGGGGCCCTGTGAGCTGCTCACCCCCCAGCACTGCCTGGCCTGTGGGAGACACAGAGAAGCAGGGGCATCCCTGTGAGGCTAACAGGCCCTCGCTGCACACAAGCTGAGGCCGGGGCTCACGCTGTGCGGCTGGCCTGAGACAGCCGGGTGCTGGGGTGGGCAGAGGGGTGCACGCTGTGTGTCCATCTGGGGGCAGACTGTCTCCCTGGGGGCAGTGCCCCAGCCTGAGGGCACTGCCCCCATGGAGCCAGCAGGGGCCAGCCAAGAAGAGCCCATCTGGACCACAAACCCCTGCTGGCTGGTAGGCAGGTGGCTCCCTAACAGCTTATCAGGAGATTCCCCTGGGCCATAAGCTGTGGCAATCCCTGTAGGAAATGCCTTATCCTTCACAGGAGCTGCTAGATTCCTCATTCATAAATGCAGGGCAAATGCTCAGAGAGGCTCGGTGAGTTGCCCAGAGCTACACAGCTGGCAATGCAGAACACCCAAAGTGGGCCAGTTCTGGGCACTCCAAGGCTAGAAGCGTGGCCCTCCTGGCTGACCGACCTGACGCAGCTGCTCTACTCACAGCAGTGCCTGCCCTTACACTTGTGCCCTGAAACCAAGGAGCAGGAAACTCGGGAGCTGTGTGGGAGTGACAGGGAGGCACGGTTAACAGGATGCTAGCTGGTTTTGAAGTGCACCGGGGTGCCACAGGGCTCCTGATCTCTGGAGACGGCTGCCCTTTACAGCCGGCAGCGATTTCCCTCCCACAGGCAGCGACAGCCCTGTCACAGCATGGCCCCTGCTCCAGTGACACTGTCTGTTAACAGACTGCTTGCCAGGGCTGAAGAGCATGACACAAGTCTCAGAAGGGTGCGGGCGGCGGGCTTCCATTTTAGTCACTGCACCGGGAGCACTCCTGGGGGTGGGCTGCCCGGGACAGGCTTCCCCAGGCCCACCTGACATCCCCTTTGAGTGTCCCATCTGCACACTGCACCCTGGTGTGCTCTGTGGGGGCTGGGGGATAGCAGGGACCCGAGGGAACCTCCTCTCGCCCTGCACTGTCCTCCCTCACTCCCCTGGGTGGTCTATAGGGATTCTCTGCCCCCTGGGGCAGGGCTCCGGACATAGGCACCACTTCCTGGCACCCAGCTGGGCTGGGCACAGGTGCAGAGGGGATGGAGATGGTACAGGAGGGCAGTGGTCACAGCACACCAGCAGGTGCGGAACCCCTTCCTCCCTGGCCCTCACTTGGCAGCTGGCAGAGCCTGAGGCCAATGATGGAGTCTTCCCAGTTAGTGGCCTTCCCTGGGCCCAGCCCAGTGCCTGCCACCAGTGAACAGAGGACAGAAAGACTGGGACAGGTCAGGCTCTGCTGCGGACTTCGTGCGTGTCCCCTGGAAATCCGTAAGCTGAAGCCCCAAGCGGGTTCTAGTGAGGATCTGGGAGGCCCCTCACTATTGGATTAGTGCCCTCTTTTTTTTTTTTGGTGGTACCAGGGATCAAACTCAGGACCTTGCGCTTGCAAGGCAGGCACAGTGCCACTGAGCTGAATCCCTCGCCCTGATTTAGGGGACGGCGGCAGTGCAGGGAGGCAGGGGACAGGGACAGTCGAGTCTTCCACTCACCTCATGAGAGTTGGTGCCATGAGCCACTCGGGTTTTGCAAACTGTGGATGGGAAAGACAAGCAGACAGGAATTAGCAGGGCCCTCACCCACACAGCCTGACACGGCGGGCGTGGAGGGATTGGGCAGGGGGAGCTGCTGAGACACACTGAGGACAAGTGGTAGCGTCTGCACCGGGTAATGTGACAGGCGCCCCTAGGCCAGGCAGGAAGGACATCTTTGGCCCATACCCCAGGGGCCCACTCAACAGAGCGGGTGGAGGTGGGACCCAGGGCCACCCATCGCCTGCCCATCCTGAGGCAAGTTCAAATCCCAAGGTCTGTCAATACTCCATGCCTCTACTCCCTGTGGCCAGCGGTGCCGCCCGCATGCAGTACATACTGAAGGGGAAAGCCAGGCCGTTCCGCTCCAGCAGCCTCATGGTGTCGTCCCCGCACAGACTCGTTAGCTCCATGAAGGGTGGAGAGCAGATCCTGTCATCTGGGGTGGAGAGAGGTTGGCTCAGAGCCCTGCCTCAGGGGCCCCCAGCTCTGAGGCACTGTGTGTGTCAATGCTAACAGCATATTCTTCAATTATACTTTCTAGTAATAGTTCTATAATTATAAAGATTTTATATGCTAATTGGAAAACTTGAAGAGCATGGAGGAGTAGAAAATGTGCATATTCACATTATTACAATACGCCCTTCTTCTCAGCCTTCATTTTAAACACGGAATACACGGACCCGCAGCTATCCAGTAGGGTACCATTCTGTAACCTTGTTTCCACTTACTACGCTATTAACCGTTTCCCTAGCTCACCGCTTGTCCACCACAGGACATCTCGGCTTAGTGATAACCACAAGATGATGCAACGTGTGTTGGGGACCCCGCTGACCGCTTTGTACAGTGTCACCTTTATAGCCTGCAAACTTATCCCATTAGGAGGAGACGGGTCAGGCGGATGAAAAGCTTGCCCTTGGCGGCAGCATCCTTGCCTGCTGGGCTCCCAGGTGGCCTGTGACAGTCACTGCCTCCCAACTCTCAGGTCTGCTGCCTGTGACTCTCAGGCAGCCACACTCCAGGCCGGGCCACCTGGGCCGTGTGCTGCTGGTGTCTGCAGGGTGCCCACACTGGATCCTAATGCTGTGCTAGACTTTCAGAAAAGCCCTGGGGGATAAGCTTCTGAGACCATCCTGACGTTCCTGTTGCCAGGCACCGATAAAGGGCAAAGCGGATTGTTGGTGGGATAACAAGATGTGTTTTCAATCTCTCTACTGATTATTCAACGACTCGTTTGTTATTACTGATCCCTGCCACAGTCCCCTTCTCAGAAAAGACCACCAGCTCCCAGGAAGTACTACTGTGTACTTCTGGACCCAGGGGCAGGGAACGGTTGGGTTTTAGTGAGGCAGTGGTGGCCTGCCACCCATTAATTTGGAAACCAAACCAAAAGCAAACCAGCAAGCACTGTCCCCAGAGCTTGGCCAGGAGGTCAGCCCATTAAACCAAGCAGGATCCAGCCATGCTTAGCATAAACACCCACGCCATGAACTGCATGGGGCATATTAAAGTGCTTTTCCTCCTTCCTCACCTCACTCCCCCAGGCAGAGTTCAAACTCCAAAGAGGTACAACATTTTGGGGCTGCAGGGATTCCTTGCGGGCCCTGGGAGGGTGCTAGGAGCCAGCATCCCCTGAGCCCCTGCCTGGGTATTCTTTTCATCCTCAATGTGCTGTGACAATGTCTGGAGGCAGACCCAGAGATGGGGCCAAGGGCAGTGTTGCCCAAGGTCACAGCATGGTCAACAAAGCCAGGATGAGGCACCAGGCCTCCCTAGCAACCAGCAGAAGTCAGGAGGGAGGGGTGGGTGCCAGTACTCAGCTCAGGCTCTGTCCACACAGGGCCTCAGAGTCAGCCTGGGCAGGAAGCTGCTGGGGGCTGGCAGCCCTTCCACCAGGTGAAGGGAGGAAGCGGGCTGGGCAAAGACTCCTTGCCACAGACATCAGCCCCTGCTGCTTCGGCGACAAATGCTCAGGTCTGAACAAGCTGCAGGACTTGGCAACAAGAGGCTTTGGATGGCAGCTCACCTGGCCTGGAGGGGCTGAGGTCCCACCTGTGGCCCAGGATGTGGCCCAAACCCTCTCCCGGGAAGATTTGGCTGTTGGAGGCCCAGAGGTCAGACTCCCCCCACCAGTTTCCAGAGGAGGTGAGGCAGCCTGGCTTTAGAGTTTAGCTTTTCACATTTCAATGCCCCTCACCTCCCCATTGTGCCATCTCCCCATTGTGGTTCCTTCACACATTTACCCAGTGTCACTGATGATGGCAACATGTCCATAAATTGAGCTGGTTCTGTGCCAAACACTGTTCCATGCAGTTGCACTGTCACTCATTTAACCCCCTGGAAGAGCCCAATGAGGAAGCACCACTGTCACCCCATTTTACCACGAGGAAGCTGGGGTGCAGAGGAAACCCCCTCGGGGTTATACAGTGATTGGTGGTGGGATCGAGGCCTAAGAGCGTGCTCCTCTGCCGTGCGGCAAGTCTCTCAATGCAACAGCAGCTTCAGATTATGGAAATTGGTCCGTGCAACACACCGCTCCTTTACCCACGGCCATGCTATTCGCAGGTTCAGTTCCCTACAATCATCTGCAGTCCAAAGATCTTAAATGTAAAATGCCAGAAATAAAAAATTCCTAAGTTTTAAACTGCACGCCATTCGGAGTAGGGGGGTGAAATCTCTCACCATCCCCTTTGCCCAGGTTGCACCTGAATCGCCCCCTTGTCCAGCATGTTCATGTGTACCCTACCAGCCTACCAGTCACCTAGTAGTCGTCAACTGCCGTATTTCAATGCTTGTGTCAAGTAACCTTTATTTTATTTAACAACAGCCCTGAAGTGCAACACTGGGATGCTGGCAATTTCATTAAAGTATGTTGTCCTATTATGTAATTGTTGTTTATCTCTTACTATGCCTAATTTACAATTAAACTTTGTGTTTGATAGTGCCAAGGATGGAACCCAAGCCTTGCACACAACAGGCAAGTGCTCCACCACTGAACCACACTCCTGCCCCTATAAATTGAACTTTATCCTAGGCATGTAGATTTGGGTAAAAAACACAGTAAATATAGAATTTGGTACTATCCATTGAGGGTCTTGAAACACATGCCCCATAAATAAAGGAGGACCTACTGTAATATAATAAGGGACCAAAACCACATGATCATCTCAACAGATGCAGGGAAAGCATTTGATAAAATCTATCACCCTTTCATGGTAAAAACACTTAACAACTAAGAATAGAAGGGAATTTCTAAATCTAACAAAGACATCTACAAAAGGCCATACTGAAAGATAACATCAAATTTACAGCAAAAGCCTAGATACTTTTCCCCTAAGATCAGGAACAAGACAGGATGTTTGTTCTTGTCACTTCTATTTAACAATGTACTGGAGGTTCTAACCAGGGCCATTAAGCAAGAAAAATGAAACAAAAAGCACCCAGATTGGAAAGAAAGAAGTAAAACTATGTCTATGTGCACATAATATGATCTGGTACATAGAAAATCCCAAGGGACCCACCCACACAAACCACCCCCAAACTGATAAGTGTTAAAAATAAATGAGTTCAGGTTGTAGAATACAAGATCAATACAGGAAAAGCAATTTTATTTCTATACTGCAGCAATGAATAATCCAAATGTAACATTAAGTAAATCATTCCATTCCCAAAGGCATCAAAAAAGATAAAATTCATTGGGCCAGGGATTTAGCTCAGTGGTTTCAGCACCTGCCTCACAAGTGCAAGTTCCCGAGTTTGGTACCTTGCTCTCGAGAGCAAGGCCATGGGTTTGAACCCAGGTACCAAAAAAAAAAAAAAAAAAACCCCAAAAAGATAAAATTCTTAGGAAAAAATTTAACAAACGAACATTATGACTTAAACACTACAAATTACAAAATATTGTTGAGAGAAAGAAAACTTCAATAAGTGGAAACACATATTATAGATGGGAGATTTAATATTGTTAAAACTGTCAATTTTCCTAAGATGATCTACAAACTCAATGCAACACTCACTGAAAATATCAGCATTCTTTTTTCAGGAATTAACAGGCTGATCCTAAAAATTCTTATTAAAATGCAAGTGTTGTGGTTTGTGTCTAGATGTCCCCCTAAAGCCTCATGTGGTCACAGGCTTTTTCAGAGGTGGCTGAATCTAGAGCGTGTGATGCTGGGATTAAGGGCGTGTGATTACTAAACCAGTCCACTGATTAGGGACTAATCCCAGTAGTCTGGATAAAATAGAAGAGCCAGGAAGGGGCTATTAAGGTTCCCTTGCTGCTTTTGCTACCATGAATCGTGCCATGCTGTTTCTCCTCCGTGACGCCTGTTTGCCATTAAGTATACCTCGGAGCCAGCCAATTATTTACTGAAACCTCTACAAACTGTGAGCTAAATAAACCTTTCCTTTAACTTTGGGTGTCAGGTATTTTGTCTCATCAATGAGAAAAATAACTAAGACACTGAAGATAATGGAAGAATTCAAGCCCCCATTCATTTTGTTTGGTTTTTGTTTTCTGTTTTTTTGGTACCGGGGATCAAACTCGGATCCTTGCACTTGCAAGGCAGGCAGTGGAACCACTGAGCTAAATACCCGGACCCCCCATGCATTTTTCATATTAATCAAAAAAAGAAAAAGGGAAGGAAACCCACAGCTGCCACTGTGGGGTGTCTGCTCTCATGAAAACCCAGGCTAAATAAGAGTTTTACGTCCAGTATTTCCTTCAATCCTCCCACCAAATGTGCACTGTCCTATCCCACACCACTTGGGAGACCAAAGAGAAGTCAGAAAAGGGACAAGAGGAGCCTACCTTGGATGTCTGGAGTTCAGCAGAACTGCAAGACATTTGTAATAAGCGGGCCATGTCCAGCACCAGCCCACACACCCCACCTCTATGAAATCTCAGGCTCTGCTGTGCACAAATGGGCCAAGAAAAACGCGCACATCCACATGGTCATGTATCCTAATCTGGAGCTGGCTGCCCACATCCGGCGCTGCAGACACCACTGGCTGCCTGCCCTACTCCTAGTCTTGGGAAGGGGTTGGGACTGGCCCAATGACACTGGGTGGGACTCCTATTCCAAGATTAGGCTCCAGCTGTCAACTTACCACCAAAGGAACCAGCCTTGGGTGGAGGCAGCCTGGAGATCTGTCCCCACCTGGGCCACAGACCACTCCAGGCTTGGGGCCTGAGCCTGGCCCTGCTCTGCCTCTGGGTACAATCCACAGTGCCTGTGCTGCCTGAGCTGGTTTCTGGCAACCTGCAGCCCAAATGGTCCTGGCAGGCCTCGGACATCCAGCAAATCAGACACTACTACTGGTGTTATCTTGGTTCTAACAACCATTCACCACCAACAAAAGAACATGTTGAGCATCTACTAGACTCTGAGGACCAGGGATGTAGCAATAAATAAAATTGGACGTCCTTGTTATGTGGAG